CCTCTCTCCCTGCTGAAGGGGCTCCCCATTGCCTCCCAGCAGCACTGAGGGCTGAGATAGGAAGAACTTGGAGTTTTGTGGTGCTGGGGATTGATCCCAGGACCTTTGCACTGAGCTACATCCCAGCACATTTTCTATTTCTTTATTTTGAGACAAGGTCTCAGTGAATAACTAAGTTATCCAGGCTGGGCTAGAACCTGCAGTCCTTTTGCCTCAGCCTCCCAGAGTCCTGGGATCACAGGTGTGTGGCACCATGCTCAGCTCAAAAGTTTAGTTTTGGTTTTTTGTTTGTTTGGTTTTTTTGGTACTGGGGATTGAACTCAGGACCTTGCACTTGTGAGGCAGAGAGCAGAACCACTGAGCTAAATCCCTGGCCCAAAAGTTTAGCATTTTAAGAAATTAGAGACCTAGTGATTCCTATTTACCTCAGAGCTGCCGACTTGCACCTGGAAACCTCTGGGCTCTGTTCGTTTCCAAAGAAACAAAGAAATGAGGCACTGCGTTTGGTACCAGCCAGCCGTCCCCCTCACCCCTCTGTCCCTTCCCAGGCTGGAAGCAGCCTCTAGGGACTTGAGGTCTCACCTGAGGTGCTGTCTTCCAGTCCCAGAGGTTGCAGCAGGAAGGCAGCCCTCTGTCTGCCTCTCCCCCCTGCTCCTGCCTCTGTCCGCTAGCCTAGCCTACCGCTCATCCGGGTATCTAGCTTGGTTCAGGACAAGAGAGGTTGCTTTCAAGGAGTAAGCAAGGCAGGGTGGCTTGGGGAGAAGAGGGGGTATCATCAGGTGGTAGGTGAGATGACTCGGGGAGAGGAACACACTTAGGGCTTGATTGTATCCCCTGTGCCTCTCCAGGTGTTCCTGCATGAAGCCACTGTGCGCTTGATGGCAGGAGCCAGCCCTACTCGCACGCACCAGCTGCTGGAGCACAGCCTGCGGCGCCGCACCACCGAGAGCACCAAGCATGGTGGGTCCAGCCACTCCTCTCAGGATGGGGGAGAGGCTCACTTGGCTCTTCTGACTCAGCTGCTGCCTCAGGCGGGGGTGCCGCAGTGCTGCAGGGTGGTGTGGGTGGGAAAGGAGCCCCAAGCTCAGCTTGATGCTTCGGGGCTGGGCACTAGCAGAGTGGTTGTGAGGCCAGCCTCGCGCAGCCAGGAGGGTTGGGTGTGGGGTCCCGGTCCAGGAGACCGCATGGGTTCCAGCTCAGCCCCACCACACTCTGGTCCTCCCATGCTAACCACAGTGTGAAGTAGGGAGGGCAACAGAGCTTGCCTTGCAGGAAGCCTGTGTGGGTTCAGTGACTGCATCTGCCTAAGGCTGTGGGAATGGCACCTACACCTGTCTTATCTTTCCCACAGGAGAGGTGGACGCCTGGCCTGGCCAACGAGAGCGGGCCACTGCTATCCTGCTGGCATGTCGCCACCTTCCCCTCTCCTTCCTCTCCTCCCCAGGCCAGCGGGCCGTGCTGCTGGCCGAGGCTGCCCGAACACTGGAGAAGGTGGGCGACCGGCGCTCCTGCAGTGACTGCCAGCAGATGATCGTCAAGCTGGGCGGTGGCACTGCCATCGCTGCTTCCTGACCGCCAGGCGCGGCCCACCACCCTCTGCCTTTGTCTCAGTGTCTCTCCCAGTTCTCTCTCTGTCTCAGACTGTCTCTCTCCTCCCCGTGTCTGTTCTTCCTCTGAGAGCTGTAGGGATGAGCCTTGTCTTCTGAGCTATTAGCTGCAAGGGTTTTGGACCACCGCAGGCTAGAGGGTCTGGGCACAAAGCTGCAGTCCATAGACACCCTTGGTCCACACCCTGGTGTGTGCAGAGGGAGGACCTCGCAGAGATGGAGAGGTTCCCTCCCTGAGAACCCCTGCCAAGCCCCTGCCTCCAGCCCTTGGAGACTGCACATCTCCCCTCTCTGCTTCATTTTTTATCAGGCTTTCTCTCTGGGGGGCTAGGTCTCTGGGCATCTGAGAGCCCTGCACCCTTGGGATGGTGCCCCGCATGCCCCCCCTTTTATATGAATGTTTTTATATCTGTGTGCTTGCATCTGCTGTGACGCAGGGTGAAGTTACTGTGGCATCCTTATTCCTCTCTGCAGATCTGCGTTCCTTCCCCTGTGCCTGACTAAGCCAGTCCATTGTTTTCTCTTCATTCCATGGGACAGCCAGGGAAGGAAGGGACCCAGCCCTGGGAGGCACCTGGGAAGCAGGGGCAGGCCTGGGGATGGGAAAATAATGTTGGCATTATTTTTTAATTTTTAAAAAATAAACAGTATCTTATTTAATTGTCCTGTTCTTCCCACTCCTCCACCCCCTGGGACATCAGCCCAAGCTCAGGTTAGGCCCAGGGGCTGGGAGGGATGAAGCCACCTGTTGGGCCTGGGGATCAGGGGTCTTCAGCACAATTTTTTGGTTCCCTCCTGCCCCCATCCTAACTCCTACCTCCATAGTATAATTTTACTTCTAATTCTTGTCCTGAAAATGAGCCAGGGACCAGCCCCAGTCCCTCCCCAGTCATATGCCTCTTCGGGCTGGGCACCAGGAGCAAGGTCCCTCACCTTGATGGGGTCCCAGAACTGATCCCCCTTTTCTGGATCCCCTGGCTCATTCCCTCCCTGGTGACTTCCCCTGGGGCTCCCGAGGGGGACTTCTCACCCCGTGGAGCTGCTGGGGGAAGCTGGTGGGCGATAGCCCCAGCAGGGATTAGGGGTGTACTCAGCAGGGGAGCCTTGGTCTGCTTGGACCCTACCTATTCTCAGTCTCTTGCTTCTTCCCCATCACTATAATTTATGCACCCTCCCCAAGAGGGCAGCCAGCCCGCCCTTGTGTCACGTGTATATACTGTGCCTTTTCTCCTTACTTTTTTGGGAGGGTGGTTTTTCACTGAAAAAGGGGGATACACCTGTGGCTTCCTTGATGTCGAATCATTCACCATGCCCCGGACATTAGTTATTTAATAAACACAGATTGGTACCACCCAGCACCAGGTGTGTGAAGGTCTGTCGTGTGACTGCTGTGGTGCCTAAGCCAAGGGGCTGCATGACTTGGCTGGCAGTGGCCAGGGACTTGGGCTGGCCTTGGCTGCCTGTGTGCCCAGACCCGTTCCCCATGCCTGGTGCACACTCCCAAGGGCAGGTGAGGGCCTACCAAGAGTTGTTGGCAGTGCTGCTGGGGTCAAAGGCCACTGCATCCTGGTTTCAGTGTGTTCCTTGGACATAGAGCTGACTGGTCAGCCAACAGCAGCAGTTGTTTGGGAGCCGGGTGGGGAACTACCATTAGTTTCCCCTTCCCTGAAAGTAGTGGTCCTCCAAGCCACTCCCTGGCCTCAGCCTGCACTTCACATGTACACATGGGCCTGCCTGTCCCACAGGCTCACAGGCCAGAGTTGCTCACACTACACATGAAGTACCAGCATGTGATAAGTGCCTGGTAACACTGGTAATTACGAGGCCACTCAAGACTACAAGGAACTGCTAGATGGTGTGCTGAGCCTGGCAGAGGTGGATTTGGGGAGCCCACGTGGGAGCAAGCCTGGGACTGCACTACACAGCTAGTGGCCCTGCTCACCTCCCTGAGAGACCACTCTGAGCTGGTCCCTTCCTGTGGGCAGCTACAGCAGGCCATGCTGTCCCAAGGAGCAGAGGGACCCACTACAAAGGTCCTGTCCACTGCCACAAAGCATTTTCAGTAGTGACCACCACCCAGGCCCTCAACCTGGGCCCTGTCATTTGGAGATGCAGGACCCTTAGGCCTGAGGATGAGCAGTGGGCCCCTGCCCTTCCTGAGTCTCAGCAGACTCCATCACTCAGCACCGGCACCCCACTCCCAGCTCTTCTCACAGCTGTAGGACACAGACAGGTCCCCACCCCACCCTGAGGTGTCAGTATGAGCTCTTCTACAAGCCATGAAAGCCCTCCATGCGGCAGGACCATGGCCTCTGGGATCTGTCCTGGAGCTTCTAGGACTCGGTTTCTTCAAACAACCCTAAGAAACAGGGAGCTGGGCCCCCAGGTGAGAAACTGACCAGGCCTTAGTGGATTTGGGGGCTCCAGGCAGTCCAACCAGAGGAGGAAGGTGTGAGGCCACTCATACCCTGGGAGCAGGCCTCACCCTCAGCAACACACACCCTCACCTTCCCTGCTCCTCCCCTCCACTCCCTTTCCCACCATCAGTCACAGGAGGGCCCCACCCCAGGAGCCAGCTGGGTAACCCTGAGCAAGTTACATGTGAAGATGTCCGCATGGGGCTCTTGTGAGGGTCGCATGAGCAACATGCATGGTGACCCCTGGCTCCACGGTGGGAGACACCAACTGGGTGGCTTTGTTGAAGTCATCCACCTCAACTGGTTGCAGCTCAGTTGTCATTGTCCTCCCCCAACAGCATCCCGCAGGGAAGATGCATACAGGCTCCTGGCACCGTCCTGGGCCATAGCCAGGTACCAGGAGCCCTGGCAGCAGTCGGGAGGCCTGGCCATGATGAGCAGGTGGGGTGTAAGCACCTGGAGGGAGGGTGCAAGCAGGGCCCCTGCTCGTGTCTCCCTCCCCTCCCCTCCCCCAGAGCAGCTCCAGGGAGGGGCACCTCTCCTGAGCACCAGATGTCCCCACGGTCCACAGCCATTAGAGGGGTGGCCCTGGGCCAATCTGGCCGAGCAGCCTTCGGGCCAGGGGGCAGCCCAGGGCCAGACTGTGTCAGTGAAGATCAGCCAGGCTAGGCCCACGAGCCAAAGAGTGGGTGACCAGCTGGGTGCTCACCTCATAGAGGCTCTGGTCACCCCCATTTCCCAGATGACCTGGAACCCAACAAACCCTTTCAGGGGCAGGACCTTAAAACGGCTGAGGTGTAACTGCCTCCCTCCTGCGGTTCCTACTGGTGCGGGCACTAAGCCCGGCACTCAGCCCTGGCCCAGGCACACCTGCCTGCCTGCTCACTCAGGAGCGATCCTCTGTTCTTGCCCATGCTGTGCCCTCTGCCTGCACTGCCGTCTGTCCAGTCAATGACGGTGCTGCCACCAGTGCCTCTTGGGGCAGAAACCACATTAAAGGGTTTATTTACATGGGGAGCGAGAACTGTGTGGCCCCGAGGATGGAACCACTGGCCCCCTCCCCGCCCTGCAGGACCCAATGCCTCCAGTCCAGTCTGGGCCCCGGAGAGCATCGAAGACTGCCTCACACGGTGACCTCGGCTTTGCTGTTGGTGCTCAGGTGCCGGGGCCCGCGGCCCGCACCGCCGTAAAGGCGGGGGTGCTGTGCGCTGAAGGCCTCAGGCAGCTTCTCCACACTGAACTGGCGCCGAGGCGCGTGGCCGGGCCGCCGAGCTGCGGGCGAAGCCTGGGCCGCCGGGGGTCCACGGGGGGCGGGCCGGGCGGGGCGCCCTGCGGTCCACGCCGCGTAAGGGCCAGGTGGGGCGGGACAGGCGGGGGGCGCGTACCCCGGCGGGGCCCAGGGGCAGGCGTCGAGTAGCGCGGGCAGATCCTCGGGAGGCTGCGGCTCGGTGGCTGGAAAACGCTGGTAGAAGTCCTGGGGCGCGGCCTCTGCGGGGACAGCGGGTGGGCGGGGTCAGCGTGCGGCCGCGAGCGCCGATTGGCCGAGCCCGGCCTTCTCGACTACGCAGGGTCTGTGCCCGGACCCGAGCAGCTCGAGGAAGAGCTCGGCTATCCGGAATACTGGAGCGCGCGATGCGACCGGTCCTCACCTGCAGTCTTGAGCGCAGCTGCCTTGAGGGTGGCGAACTTGGCGTAGTCAGGCTGCAGTGTCACGCTGCCGCCGCCCAGCTGCCGGGGGCCACGCAGGGGCCCCGGGGTGGCAGAGCCCAGGTGCGCATTGTTGAGGCGGTTCTTGTCTGGAAGGGGGGGGAATCAGGCGAGACGCCGCGCGGACCCGCACGCGCCACCTGCGCCACTGCCCCTCCCCAGTGCAGCTCAGTGGGAACCTGGGGGGCGCCACTCTGAGCGGACAGGGGAGAACCTGGCTTTTTGGCTCAATATCGGGCGCGAGGAACAGGGCCTGGTTCAGAAAACCACAAACGATGGCAGCCTCCTCTGGGGGCCGCTGCCACGATGGACGGGGTCGGCTTCAGCTCGGCAGGCTCAGCCAAGCGCGCTCCCCGCCGACATGGGGGTTATCTGGGGACAGAGTCCCCCTAGAGGAGGGGGACCTGGGCAGCAAAGAGGAAACTCGGAGCTCCAGACCTCGGCCTGGCTCGAGACAGAAGCACAGCCCTGGGCAGCAAATCCTGAATCTGGAGCCTCCCTCATAGAAGCCAAGCCCCTGAAACTGGAGATTATGGGGGCGGGGGGAGGGGGCAGGACCTCCAAGTCTCCACCAAGGGCAGCCGGACCTTGTCCTGCCCCGACTCAGGCACCTGTAGAAGCAGGCAGGTCTCAGGCTGGGCCGGGGATTTAGCTCGGTGGTTTCGCCACCTGCTGCGCAAACTTAAGGACCCGAGTTCGGTACCCCTTACCAAAAAAAAAGAAGCAGGCAGCTCTCTCTGTCGGGGAAGCAGCAGCTCAGAGCCTCCAACTCCAGCCAACCAAGCGACCTCCTTTTTTACCCCCCCCCACCCCCCACCCCTTCCCATGTTCTGCTCTGGACCCAGCGCCCCTCACCTGTGCTGTTGTGGGGGGACCCTCGGGGGAGGCCATCGCCCATCTGCACCTGGACACAGCTACCCAGGGGCGGGCCCAGAGGTGGAGGCAGGGGTTCCTGGGGCTCGGGCTGCTTCAGAAGTTCTGTCAGAGTCCTGTGGGGACAGAGTGATGAGGAGCAGCCCTCTCAGCCTTCTCCCCATCAGCAGACTCTGGTCTCTCTCAAAGGCCACCCCAGACTCACTCACGGTCTCACTGCTTGACCCTGGGCAACTCTTCAGCCGCTCTGAGCTCCCTCCATTCTCTCCCATGACTGACCTTAGGTGTCCAGTTTCCCCTAACAGACACACGACCTGTCAGTGTGGGGTCCCCAAGATGGCCACCTCCCTGAGCAGGTCAGGAAACTCCAGCAGGGGCTCCCTTCTCCTCCCTCCAAGGAGCTCACTCTCCAAGACCTTCCCGTTGAACCTCAAGTCCCCAAACAAGCTATCTGCAGTATCCTTTTCTCCATCTCCTTCCATAAACCTATTCATTCTCAAGCCCCGAGGGGCCTCCTCCAGGAGGCTCCTTTACCTGCTACCTACCACCCTTCCCGAAGCTGCTGCCAGCACAGGCAGGGACACAGATGATGAGGGGGTGCTGGGAGGTGTCCCTCTGGCAGCCCAGCACCCAAAGGCTGTGTGACCTTGGGCAGCTGCCTCCCTGGATGCCCGGGACACCCAGCCCCCACCCAGCTGTGACAGTGTCTGGCTGAGCCTTCCCCGAAGACAGCCAGACCTAGCCTTCAGCCCAGCTGCCTGCAGCACCTCAAACACATGATTTTCTCCCACTCACCCTGACCCTCCTCCTGGGGCTGGGACTGTGGCTGATTCACTGGGACACGTGGGGTGGCCGAGCTTTGGCTGCAGTGTGACAGAGTCTGCAAGTGTCCTATGCCTGCCTGGGCTGAACTTCTACCCTGCCCTCTCCCGAGCAGCTCACGCTGTGGTCTCATGTCTGGGCAAGCAAGGACGAGTGACTGTCATGTCCCCGGGGCCTTTGCACAGGCTTTCTCCAGGGATTGACTCCAGTGCCCCCCTCACTTCTCAGAAGCCTTCCCTGGCCATCAGCCCTGACATGGCAAAATCAGGGTGAGACTTGGGCAAGAGCACAGAACACCCCTACCCGTGAGCTCAAGTCTAATTCCAGGTGTCCCGGGAGGAGAAGACTCAGTGTGCATTTGACCCAAGGAAGGGGCTGGGTTGAGTCATAACCAAAGCTACAGATGAAGAAGGTTCCAGGCAACAGGTCAGCCCGGCTCCCCCAGCCACCCTGCACCATGGTGGCCCTCAGCTCACACTGCCTCTGCTGCCCAAGGACATCCCCTGTACTCCACCGTGACCCTTGCCCACTGCAAGGGACTCCAAACACAGGAGACCCAGCTCCTGTCCTGTGCTCAGGGCTCAGCCAAAGACTCCACCTCCCCATTTCCTGCAAATGCAGCCATAGCCCTAGCTCTGTCCTCCAGCACTGGGAGAGAGTGGCTAAGAGATTGGGGGGGGGGGCGGTGCGGCAAGAAAGCCCTCAGCCCCCAGCCCTGAGGCCCAGGAAGTGAAGCATCCATACCTGGTGGTGATCCACCAGGTCACGGGGCTTCTCCCTTATCACTTCTAAATGCCAGCCTGTTGCACAGAGTGTCAGATGCTGCACGCCCGAGGGGGACTGGGAGCTGGGTGGATAGGGTGGCGTTGGCAGAACTGGGATTGCTGGGGCTTGTAAGTCCCAGGGCCAGGACACAGAATCCCAGCAATCCCATCTGGCTGAGGAGGGGAGCCTGGATCCTGTGGATGCCACCTCACATCTAGCTCAGAATTTAGCCCGAACAGGTGTGGTGGTGCACACCTGTGATCCCAGCACTCTGGGAGGCTGAGGCAAGAGAATTACAAGTTTGAGCCCAGCCTGGGCAACTTAGAGATGTAAAGAGAGCCTGACTCAAAAATTAAAGAGGAAAAAAAAAGAAAAAGGAAAAAAAAAATTAAAGAGGGCTGGGGACATAGCTCAGTGCAAAGGCCCTGGATTCAATCCCCAGTACCAGGAAAAAGAAAAAAAGGAAGAAAAAGGGTTCCCCCAGCACCTGGCTGGGCCTCCCAGACACAGGAGTACCCGCCACACTTCAGTACCCTTTCTAGCAGAGGGCGTCCCTGACCTTCACCTGCCAGCTACTGAGTGGGTAGAGGGGGGCCTTCTGAAATCCCAGGGAAGGAAGGTCAGGCCTGAGTCACAGCTAGCAGAAAGGGAGAGGGAAGAAGGTGGGAGGCGGGAGGGGGAATGGGAAAGTAAGAGGGAGAGTCGAGCTTCTCTGCCCTCTGCCCTGACCCTCATTAATGTAACTGCCCCCTCCCCTGCCTGGCCAGTGGGGCTTGGGTCCCAGCCTCCTCCCCTGGGCACCGACCTTTCGACCTCTCCAGAGGAGGCTGGAACCGCGGGAGGGTGGCCCAGCGCCCAGCCCGGCCGGAAGGTCAAGGGGAGACAGCAGTATCAAGTGTCCACTCCCAGAAGTGGGGGGTCGGGGGAGGCAGCGACACAGGAATAAACGGGGGGGGGCTGCGGAGGGGGGCAGGGAGGACTGTCCGGCGGGGGTCCCAGGCCACCGACGACATCTGGCACTCACCTGGTCACCGTGCGCCGCGCGCGCGGGCTGTGCGCCCTCTCCAGGCCCAGGCGCACCCCGATGCCCACCAGCACGAGCAGCGCGGCGACGCCGCACACCGCGTAGACGGCCGTGTGGCTGCGCTCGCGGCCGGGGTCTCGGGGTGCGGCGGCGTCGCGGGCGCGGGCGGGCGGGCGTCCGGTCTGCACCCAGGCGGGAGTGTCGTAGTTGGAGCAGCGGCTCTGGTCTAGGCGGCGCGGCCCGTCGTGGCAGCAGAAGCGGTAGCCGCACGTGCCGCAGCAGAAGCTGTAGGCGCCCGAGCTGCAGTTGAAGGGCGGGTCCCACTGGCCCATCACGTCGTAGTAGCCGCGGCAGCGGTCGCCCCCCGCCGGGGCCGCCGTGCTGGGCGCCGCGGGCTCCTCCGCCTCGGGGGCCCCCGCGCGGCCCGACGGTGGCCGCGCCAGCAGCAGCGCCAGCCCGAGAGCCAGCCGGAGCCGGACCCCGGGCGGGCGGCGGCTACCACTCGGTCCCCGAGCCCCGGCCCGCTCCATCGGGCCTGCGCCGCTGGCTACAGCGCCCCGCGCATGGCCGGGCGCCGCGGCTCCTCCGCTCCCGCAGGGCTCGCGCTGCCCCGCGGTCCCCGCCCTGGCGCCTCGGCCGCGGGCTCCTGCACCGACCCTAGAGCGGGTGTGCGGCTCGGTCTGCGGCGCGCGGGGCTGAGCTGCGGCGGGCGCGTCCTCTCCCGGGCTCCCCTCGGACCCCAGCAGCCACCCCGCGTCCTGGGTGCCGCGCCTGCCTGCACGCGGTCCCCTGCTTTTCCGCGCCCGCGCGCGTGTGCGTCCCGGGCCGCCAAGACCGCTGCCTTCCCGCGCTGCCCGCGCTCCGCTCCGGATCCGGCTCCGGCTCCCGCTCGGCGCGGGCTTGGCGGGCGGGGGAGGCAGCGCCGGGAGGACGCAGGGCTGGAGGCCGGGCGGGGGAGGAGCGCGGCCTCCAGGGAGGAGGGAGGGGCGCGCGGGCCGGGGCGCCGCTCCCGGGGACCCTCCCAAGATGTCCCCAGACAGCCCTGCACCCGGCCGCTCCCAGGACTGCTGAGCTTGGACGCCCGGGCCGCGACGAGCACGAGCGGGCTTTGCAAGTGCGGCGGCGGAGGCGCAGAGACCACAGAGGGCGAGCAGCCAGGGCAGAGTCTGTGCCACTTGCGCCTCCTTTGGCACTCCCTGTCCATTCTGATTGATCCCTTCCCTCGCTATGCCTCGATCCCCCAGCCCCGGTCCCTAGGAAAGAACCGCCCTCGGAACGGCGCAGGCTGTTCGTTCCCAGCGCAGGCTGACTCATCTCAAAGCTGGGTCTCCAGCGCAGATTCACCCCAGGGTGCCCGTCGGGTTCCAGAAGCTCCCGGCCACCTGGCTGGGGTCCCAGGCTGTCCCCAACCCCGCCGCGTCTGCCTGGCCGGGTCAGCGGCCTCAGGCGATCTGCTCCCTTCCCCTAGTGTGGCAGGGTGGAAAGTAGGCCATCCTCGGCCTCGGAAGAGAGGGGCTGTGCCGGGCCTTGGGGCAGGGCCAGTGGCCGGCGACCCCCAGGTCCGACCCTACGTCCTTTCACAAGCCGGGGGAAGGTTGGAACCTGGCCCTGGCACAGGGAGTGGCTCGCTCGGTCCTATTGAGTTGAACTGACCAATGTGGCTATGCTGCAGCACCTTGCTTCTCCCAGCCTCAGTTTCTCGAGTTAATATCAAATACTTCTTTGAGCCCCTGCAGTGGCTCTTGCCTGTAAATCCCCAGCTACTTGGGAGAATCTCTTCGGCCCAAGAGTTTGAGGTCAGCCTAGGCAACATAGTGAGACCTTACTTCAAAAATAAACTCTTCCTCAATAGCAGATTCATAATCTGCCTCCTGCAGGCGGTAGGGGTCAATGTGACACTCTCACTGTCCAGACGGGGACACCAGGAGGGAGGGCATGGACTGGGGTGCCAGTTAACCCCAAGCTCAGGTTTCTGTGGGATATTTGCTGAAGGCAGAGTGACTGAATGAAACCACTCTAGCCTCTAGTTTCTGTAAGACAAAGAATCTGTGTGCTCTAGGTTCCTTTCTGCCCCCCTTTTCGCTCCCCCTTCACCAGTCGCCTGGGATCCGCTTAGGAGAGAGGAGAAGGTGGGGGAGGAAGAGGAAGGATTTACATTTTAAGGAGGATCAAGTCCTTCTGTCGCCTGAGGCGAGGGGCTGGCAGGCTAATTTCAGGTATTAGCTAAGGCTGAGACACTCCCCCTGAGCGTCTCCTCTGTCCCCCTACTGCGCACATGCCCCCTGCCCAGCTGCAAGACCTCGTCCTCATTACAAGACTCTCCTTGTCACATTTGAGAAGAAAAAAAACAGATGAGCAAAGGAAGGAGTGAAAATGCTTTAATTTTATCACCAGAGACAACCACACTAAAACCACTAAAACATGCCACACTTGACATCCTGTTTTGTAACTGGTTTTTAGTCTGCGTTTTGTTGTCCGTCCCTCGACTTTTCATTTGGTACTCTGTTGGAAGCTTTGTGGCTGTACTTTTGGCAGCTTCCATGTTTGCTTTCCTAGGAGTTTTTCCTGGAAACGGGATCGGTTCGGAAATGGTGCTGTTCGTGTAAGAGCTCCTGCCTGCTCGGCCAGGCTGCCCTCCAGCTTACAGGGACTGTGTGGCGGGCACCCTCTCCCCTTTACTGAACATTGGACTTACAGAAGCTTGACTCTGCCCCCTCAGAGCTGTGGCTTCTTCCTAGGTCAGGTCCAACCTGATGCTCCCCCTGGACTTTGCCCCCTCCCAGTCCCTTTTTGTCCCCACTGTCCTGGCACTGGCCCTTCTGTCAGCATCCACCCCATGTCGGTGCCGGATCCTGTCCTGTAAAGTGACAGCCAATGAAGGAGCTCGACGCCCCTCCCCACAGCTTTCTTCCATCTTGATCTGATTCTGTGGATTCTGCGGGCAGCCAGCAACCACAGATACCCACACCTACCGGGTCTGTGCCAGGCACTGAACACTCTCTCTATGAACACGTGGCCCTGGGGGAGTGGGGACAGGAGAGACAACCTCAAAGGCACCACCTGGCTGGCTCTGACTCCTGGATCTCACTATGTAGCTGGCACTCCCCCTCCCCCCGCGTGCCCAGCTATGCGCTGGGCCAGGGGATCTAGAGATGGCACAGCCCAGCTGAGGTGACCCCTTTGCCCTGGACTCTGGGGGCTCTGACCACAGCAAGGCTCCAGGGCACACATCCCTTGTCTCTTCTGCCAGCCCCCTAAGCCTGTGTCACCAAAAATCATCCATTGATCCAGGCTTAAAATAACCCCTGGCATCTGCAGTGAGCCCCGTGGGGCGGGCAGAGGAGCTGAGTCTCTGCGCCTGAAGGGCACCCACCCCGCCCCCAGCTCTCAGCTCTGGCAGCTCGGGTGTGAGGTGCCTGGGCATGCCTGTGGATGTGAGAGGGCAGGTGGGGAGCCAGCATGGTCATGCATGTGCCCATGTGTATGTGCCCAGGCACGCGTGGCCTTCCTTCACTGCCCAGCTATCACAATGAAAGCCTGGGGTCCTGAGAGGCCCTGGGTGTTAGGGTCCCCATTTTAGATGGAGAGTGCCCACCTGGCAGCTCTGCTCACCCTGGGGGAGAAGGTTTGCAATTTCCTAGAGAGAAATCAAAGACCCCAAGAAGGGTAGTGACTCGCTGGGACACAGCTAGGAGAGTCAGGGTCTGGCCTGGAGTTTGTGCCTAGAGCCCCAAACCTGCTTTCTGATGGCTGGGTGCAGACAGAGTAGCTGGAGGCCCAATGGGACCGGGGAGTCGCTCCCTGCTCCCTACAGCTGTCCCCAACATGCCCGCAGTGTCCCCAGTCCCAGGCTGGACAGAATTCCTGAGGTCTTGGGACCAGTCTACCTTTCCAGGCCTCCATTGTCTCATCTACACCTCGTTGGCAGGGCTGCAGGGAGAGGACAGTGGGGCCCAAGCCCATCCCCATCCTGGGGAACATGCAACCTCCTGAGACCCCCACGGCAGAGCATGATGATTGTGACAGAGATGCCACTCCCAAGCTAGAAGGACCTCGTCCCTAAACCCACTTCCATTCTTCCACGATGGAGGCTTAGCCTCGAGCGGAGATTCTGGGGAGGGGACGAAGGAAGGACTTTCAGCTAGTGCAAACGCCACAGCAGGAGGGGGTCTGGAAGGAGGGCCCGAGGCTGCCTTTGTCTCCTGAGAGCAGCGTGACTCAGCCTCCAGCTGCTGGTAGGAGGGAGGGGGTTCTCAGGCTCCTGAGGACACGGGGGAGCGGCGGCCTTGGGGGGCTGGGAGCTGAGTCTCCGCCTCCCTCTCCAACACTACACCCTCTCCCCGGCCCGCACCCCGCCGTACCTCGGGAGTCTCAGGTAATCCCTCTGCTCGAATCCACCCAAGCAGGCCCTCGGGAGGCCCCAGGGAACGTGCACCGACCACCACGACGTGGCGCGGGAACAGACAGGACAGGGAACTCGGCGCAGCCACCGGGCCTGGGCGCCGTTTGCAGGTCCCCAATTCTGAAGATCAGAGCCGGGGTAGTGAGGGGGAGGCGTGCCCCCCCCCGTGCCCTAAAGTTGGGGCCGTGGACCGCATCCCGGGGCCCCTGGTTCAGGCTGCAGTGCGCAGGACACGTGTGACCACTGGGACCCGTGCGCGCCCAGAGGTCGTGAGCTGAAAGACCTCATTTTGGCCCCGTCCTCCTTCAAGCCCCTCCCCATTCCGCCCTGAGCCTGGGCCGCATCCCTTTGATTGGCTGCTGGCCCCGCCCCTTACCCGCAACCCAGACTAGCCGTCCCGCAGCCCCGCCCCTCCCGTGGCCCGGCTTCTTATCTGCCCTGCCCCTTGCCCCACCCCCTCTGCTCCAGAACCCAGATGCTGGTGGTCAAGGTGGAGCTGACCGCAGGAGCCGCGCGGGTCTACTTTCACCTGCTCCGGAGTCGCTGCAGGGTCCCGGGTTGGGGCTGGATCCCAGATTCTCTGCGGTTTGGGGAAGTGGAGACGCTCAGTGGCCCTCTGGGTCCTGGACTCCTGGGCGTCCAGCACTCCCCACGACCCTAGCTGCCGTGCCTTGCGGAGTCTGGGCCGGAACGGGGGCGTTCGTGTCCTCCCAGGTTCTCGCTGACCGTCCCTGTGCCCCTAGGCAGTTGTCCCTGTGGCACTTCAGTTCCGCCTGCTCCCCAGGCCTGCCAGGCACATGTCCTCTGTAATCTCGAAGGAGCCCCATTTTGTAGAGGCGGAGGAGGCCCAGAACAGGGCTTGCGGGGTGGTTCCCTGCTGAGAGGAGCGAGGGTCAAGTCTTCCTCTCTGACCTCACCAACTGGGCATCCCCTCCCCTACGCTGGAGCCCCGGACCGTAGCTGCCAGGCAGGAAGTGAAAGGGGCCTGCAGGAAACCCCAGGAGGAACCGAGACTTCGGCCGCCCCGCCCCCACCTGCCAGGCCTCGGGGACCTTGGGGAAGCCAGATCCCCTCTTTGGAGAAACTGGCCAGAAATGGCCTCTGGGAACGGGAGAGCAGGAGAGCAGGAGCGGGGCTGCTTCCTTCTGTCCCCACCTCACCAAGCAGTCCTAGTCTGTCTCAAGTCCTCTCACGGCAAAGTGCGGCCAGCTGGGAGAAAAACCTTTCAGCAGTGATGTGAGCAAGAGGTGAGGCCTGGTGTCTGTCACTGGAGCCACCGTCTGAGGAGGACCCTGGGTCCCGTGGCCTTCTGCTGGGCCGGAATCTCTCTGGCTAGCCTGCCACTGACTGCCCTCTGTCCCTGGGCCTCTCTCCTCCAACGTGCAGAGTGGACCGCATCGTCCTACCTCACGGATGTGAAATGGTCCCGATGCTGTTCATTTTGGTCAAGGCTTCGGGCAACTTTCCTTCCGAGAACCAGAGACTTTATGCAAAGATTTCATAGAAGGAGGTGTTCCATGACTCAGTTCCAATAGCAATGACGGAAAATAACCAGATGCTCAGGTGGAAAACTTGACAAATGGTGAAAACCTTATCGGGAAGTGTTGAAGACAGAAACACTTACCACGTGTGGTGGCCAAGATGTGTTCAGTTTTAAATTTTTATTAGTAGTCATTTGTAATACATGACATTCCCGGGGAGAGTTGGTACACGGCCATAACACCATATTTCTTTCTTTTTTTTTTTTTTTGTAGTACTGGGGTTTGAACTCAGGACTTTGCACTTGCTTGCAAGGCAGGGGGAGTGCCACTGAGCTAAATTCCCAGCCCAAGACATTGTAATTCTTTTTCTGTCCTTTTCCCTCCATTCTTCCTGCAAATATTTATGTGTAAAATGATTATCATTAAGGAAAACAATATCCTACATACCCAAGAGGCGGGTCCTACTGAATCTGCTAGATACAGGTTAGCTCTCTATAAACTCCACCCTGATTAGCTTGTCCACAAAATGGACAAGCTTTCTAGCTTGTCCACAAAATGCATGACTTTTTAAAAATTAAAAATAACTTTTTTCAGTAGTAGGTGTTGAACCCAGGGCCTTTGTGAGCTACATCCCCAGCCCTTTTTTATTTTATTTTTTTTAAGACAGGGTGTCATTAAGTTTCCCTGGCTGGGCTTGAACGTGCAATGCTCCTGCTTCAGCCTCCCAGAATGCTAGGATTGCAGGAGTGCATCCCCACACTTGGCTATAAGCTTTTCTTTTTAACCAAACACAAATAATCCCCCCCTACCTCAATGATGCTATGCAGATGAAATGCAGTATCACCATGAAGGGTTCTTAGGGAAGGACACATAGGAGGGGGGGGCAGTTGGTGCTGATCATTCTCTGGGCCCTTTGAAGGTGACACTGTGCCTGCTCCTTGTCTGCTCCTCCCTGGTCTCTCTTGCTTCTTCTCCAAGAAGATCCCTTCTGCTATTTGCTGAGACTATGGTGCCAAGTTCTCTCCCTCTCTGTGCCTCAGTTTCCTCATCTGTGAAATGGGGATTTCTATGTGGTAATTACTTTTTTTTGGTCTGGGGATCGAACTCTGGTCCTTACACTTTCGAGGCAGGCGGTGGAACCACTGAGCTAAATCCCTGGCCCTCTGTGGTAATTCTTAAAGGTTCCTTCTCCCCCTTCTCTTCTGGAGGCCACAGGCCAGGGACAGAAATTCTCATTTAGCCCCTCATTTCTCAGAAGAGGAAACTGGTATCAGAGGGGCCTGGGACCACATGCAAGCCAGAGGTTTGGCTGGGATAGGAGGTGCCAGGAGTTTGCATGTCTAGGCCTGGGGGTTTCACTCACTTTTTCACCTTCAGAGACTGGATGGGCTGTGGTGGAGAAGATGTGGTGGAAAGTAGGGGTGGCCAGGGACAGCTTAGATTCCCCGAACCCTGGGCTGGAAGTAGGGGGCACCACACCCTGTGTCTTCCTGCTCTCCATCTGTCCCCACCCTACTCCCCTGGCTCCCTGAGACCAGGCACTGAGACAGGTTCAGGGAGGGACAGCTGCACAGAGACTTGGATATGAACAACCAGTCCTGGGGCCCCCGGTGCCACCGGCCAGGCTTCTGAGCTGGGCGGCAGGTGAGCGGGGGCGAGGGCATCTGACTGGCAGTTCAGGGGGGCGGCTCAAGGCAGGGCAGGCAGAAGCCTTGGTGCATGGAACTGAGCTTGGCTAAGGACCCATAGAGGGACAAATGCGACCAGGATCCCATCTTTTGGTCCCAGCCCAGTGCTCCTCCCAAAAGGGACTTGGCTGTGACAAATTCTGAGAAGCCGTCTAGGGTGGAGTTTAGGTGCAGCCTGGGTAGGAGAGGCCACAGCTGGCAGCCGTGCATGGCATGGTCTGGGACTAGAAAGGGGACCATGGTCACAGGTCCCACAGCAAGAGCACCACTGGCAGAGGAAGAGCGGTGGGCACAGGGTGGCACCGGGTGTCATAGGATGGTCAAGGGGCTCAGCACTTGGGGCTCAGGCATAGAGAGAAATGGAGGCGGGCCCTCGAGGAAGGGGCCAGTAGACCTCAGGTCCATGCAGTTCATAGCTAGGCCGCCCTGGTCTCTGTGCAAAGGAGCCTCTTGCGGGTCCCAGGCCTTGCTCTGTGCACAGCTAAGGCCCAGGAGGGCCCCCAGGTAGTCTGTTTGTCTGTCTGTCACGCTCCTTTTTTTGAGACAGGGTCTTGCTGTGTAGTCCAGCAAGACTTGAACTCACTATGTAGCCCCAGGCTGGCCTCGAACTTGAAGTGATCCTCCTGCCTCAGCCTCTCGGTGTGTGTGTGTGTGTGCCTCCTGGGATTACAGGTATGTGCCCCCACACCTGGCTTTTCCCAGGTGATCTCTGAGGGTCAGGATGTAACTTCAGCTTGAGTTTGGAGTCCAGCCCCAGCGGCTGTGCATGTTGTAGCTCAGAAAACAGCCACCAGGGTAGAAACGGCGTCTTAGTCCTGGCACTGGGCAGAGCCCAGGGTTGCCACTGGGATACAGATACCTGAGTCAGCACAACCTAACAGTCTTGTTTCTTTCATCCTGGTTATGTTGGGGGAGTGGTGAGGCAGTGTCTGACTATGTCACTCAAGCTGGCATTGAACTTGTGATCCTGTTGTCTCAGCCTCCTAAGTGCTGGGATTACAGGCATGCACCCCATGGCAAGCTTTTCCTAGTTATTGGTACAAAATTATTAAGGGGCTGGAGGTGCAGCTCATTGGTACAGCACTTGCCTAAACATGCATGAAGCCCTGGATTTGATTCCCAGAACCACAAAAATAAAATAAAATAAAACAAATACAAAAAAACCCCTAAAAATAATCTTGCACTAAATCCTAAAGTGAAACCATCAGCTGGTTATTTATGGCTGCTACTTGCACAAGTTTAAAAGCAGAACAGCTCTGAGAGCAAGGATTAAAGAAATACAACACCTAAGTACAAATTAAGTATCCTCCCACATGGTCTTTTTTACAGATTCATTTTAGCTTAATGGTGCCTTCTGTACTGTAAATGAAAAATCTCTTAGTCAACTGTATTAGTCTACTGTGTTTACTATAACAAATTTCTCTGATGGTGGGTAACTTTATAAAGAAAAGACCTCTGTCTCTCTTTTTGCAGTGATAGGGATCAAACCTAGAGATACTCTACCACTGAGCTGTATCCCAGCCCTTTTTATTTTGAAACAGGATCTTGCTAAGTTGCACAGGTAGGTCTAGAACTTGTGATCCTCCTGCCTCAGCCTCCCAAGTAGTTGGGATGACAGCCCTGGCTGCGCTTTCTTTATTTAGCTCACAGGTGAAGTGAGTCAAGGGACCACATCCAGAGATGCTGACCTTGTTGGCCGAGTCTCAGGGTGGAACAGTCTGTTCTGGTCTCTCTTCTTATAAAGCCACCTGAGTGCAGTCATGGTCATCACCCTTGTCACCTTTGGGAGGCCCCACCTCTGAACACCACAGTCAGATCAAGTTTTCACCCTTTTAATACCTCACAACATCGATGAAACCCGGATGCGTGAAGCCTTGAGGTGTACACTTGACTGCATCCAAACTAGAGCACATCCAGCCACCCGACAGCTCAAGAGCTCAGATGTGATCTTCGAGGCCCATCAGAGGCCTGTGGTCCTATGCCAGAGGCGACCACTCACATCAGCTGCACACCGAGGCCCATGGTGTCTGTGCCTAGAAGCAGCCTGGTCCCCAGGCAAAGGGGTGTTGGGCCTGGGGGTGAGGCTCTGAATCATTTCCAAGCCCCAGGTCAAAGGCCTGGAAGCAGGACGAGGTCCTCTCCTGTCCCCTCTGTGGCTATTGCTGCTCGGGGCCGGCCGTCTTAGTGGTCACCAGCTCAGTGGAACCCAGCTCTGTGGCGGGTACAGGGACACTGTGGCTAGGTGGGGTGGTGGCTGGGTGTTCTCTGGGTTCGGGCCAGACAGGAGCCGAGGCATCAGGGGTTCCCGGTGAGGGGACATAGACGTTGTCGAGGGGCTCTAGAGTGGGCAAGGCCGGGGACACGGAGGGTCAGGAGACCTGGCCTCCCCTGCCCCCTATTCTCTTCTGGAAGCTTCCTCCAGAGGGAGAGCGCTTGGTGATGGGGTGGGGAGGGGTGGCCCATGACAGGCCTTCGACACCGGAAGTGCTGAGTGCAGAGGCCTGGCAAGGGGGCTTGAGGAGGGCACAGGAGAGGGGTGGGAAGCCCATCAGGCCACCCCACAGAGCTTCCTGGGGACCCAAGACTAGCCCTAGTCCCCACAGGCCATGCTTGCCCTAAGGACCCTGGCCCAGCCCTGGGACGGCTCCCCTAGGCCAGTGGCTCCCAGTCCCCAACACAAGACTCACCTTCCTGGCTTCCTTCTGGAGCCTCCAGGGTCCTGCGCTGCCGCCACCTCCAGCTCACCAGGGCCACCAGGACCAGGGCCAGGGCAAGGGCCAGGCCCAGCACCACGGGGGCCCCGAAGAGCAGCCCGGGCAGGGGCAGCCCAGTCGCCCCCACGCCCACTGACTCCTGCGGCTGCAGCACTGTTCCAGGTGCCTGGCTGCTGGCTCCTACTGCTGGCGGAGGGGATGGGGAAGGAGGCCGGTGGGCAGAGGGGAGGAGTGACCTCTGGGCGAAGGGAGGAGAGGCTGGCGGGTAGGAGGGACAGGGGAGGGGAGGGGGTGGTGAGAGCACACGGTGGCCACCGGGACTCAGCCATCCCCCCGGGCTTGGCCAGGTGGGCACAGTGGGGCCCCGAGGCAGGGCCTCCTCCCCCAGGGCCGCCTGGGGCTGTGGCAGTCCCTCCCTTACCAGCTCTGGGCTCTGCGGTGCGGAGGAGGCTGCAGGCCACGCAGTGGCGGACCAGGTGGTCGAAGCACTCGGCCTGGATGCAGCGCGTGGGCACCGGGCCGCTCATGCCCTTCAGGCTCCTACCCCCCAGCCCCATGGTGCTGAGGTACCACATGCGCAGCTACGACTGGGTTCTGAGTCCCGAGGCCCTGGGGAGGAAGCCAGGTGGCCCCGCCTTGTCTGCTGGGTGGGACGGCTGGGGTAGGACCAGTGCTACCCGGCCCTGCACCCCGGACCTTCTCTTTCACTTGTTGTTCCCCCATCCAACCACTCAACCATCACCCCCAGACACCAGCTGGGCGGGCTCAGACCAGAGCCTGATCTTGGCGGGATACAGACTCTGGGTGGGCTCTGCTCTGCTTCACTGGGGGTGCTCATGGCCCTGGAGCTCCCTCCACCTCCTTCTCTGCCCTTTTCAGAAAGAGCTGGTCCAGGACATCAAACATCTCAAAAACAAAAAACATCCCCAAACTGGGTGTGGCAGTCCAATCCTGGCACTCTGGGAAGCTGAGGCAGGAAGATTCCAAGTTTGAGCCCAACCTGGGCAACACAGTTTTAGTGAGATCCAGTCTCAAAGTAAAAAATAAAAAGGGCTGGGGATGCAGCTCACTGCAAAGGCCCTGAGTTCAAGCCACCAGAAATGATGTCAACAAACCACCCCCCCCCCCCGCCCGGCCCCTAGGTGACAGCCTGGCTGGCCCCGAACATCCCCCTGCACTGGTGCTGGCCAGAGAGGGAGGGAGGCAGACAGTGCGTCCGCCTGCCCCAGCCTCACCTCCCTCGTCCCTCCCCTTGGTCCTTGCTCTCCTTCCCTGTCCTCTCTGGCAGCAGTGGGAGCAAGCAGCTGGGAGCCCACAGTGGCACAGGAGGCCCAGGCTTCCTGTGTAGGTCCCCACAGAGAGGAGGTGAGCAGGTATTGCAGATGAGCCAGGTCTAGGGGAGCATGATGGGTGAGGCTGAGCATCAACGAAGGCCCCAGGGCCCAAACGGGAAGGCCAGGAGAGCTCGGGGACCACGACTGAGTGTCAGGCTGCCCAGACTCTGGCTCAAGGGTTCTAGGGAGCCATGCAGGGCTTGGGGAGGAGTGTCCTGTTGGGGAATCAGATCCACAGAGCAGCAAGGAACCTATGGCCCAGCTGATGTCCCCTGCCCCTTGGGACTCACACAATCTCCCTTGGCCTTGGGACATGGGCTGTCCCTTCCTCAGGGCAAGGGTTCAGCCTGGGGGACATACAGACCCCCAAGCACTCAGGGTTGGGAGCATAGAGCAGAGGAAGCAGTGACCCGGGACTGGGTGGGAGCTTGGGGACGAGGGACACCCACAGCAGCTGGCCAGGGCAGGCACATGGGCCCTCCAGGCAGGGGTGATGGTGTTGGGACCTGGGCTGCAGAGAGCCAGCCCTGCAGTGAGGTGTGACTCGGGACCCCCCTGGAGGGCACAGGCTGGAGATGGAGCAGGGAGGAGCTGGGCACTTGGTCTGGGCAGGGGCAACGCGGCAGCTGACCCACAGAGAGGAGTGGCTGGCCTGGCATTCTGGCTCGAGATCAAGGACTCCTGCAGACCCCCGAGGGCCACCCCAAGGGGCCTGGGCGCTGCCTCCCCATGCCCTGCCCACGGGTGAGCGGCTCTGGCAGGAAGGTGTAGGCGGTGGAGTGACTGCAAAGGAGAAGTGGTGGGGAGGTGGGTGTGGATATGGGGGTGGGTGGGGAGGCGGGGGAGCCGGGGCAGGGACCCTCCTGGGACAGAGGACTGGGCCGCAAGCCTCTACCCACACCTACCTGCCACTGCTCCTCCCCGCACTCCTTAGGGACAGAGCCCTACACAGCAGATGTCCCCTGTGGCCCTTGTGTCAGACACAGGCTGACCAGGCTGAGGCTTGAGCGAACCAAGAAGCAGATCTGTCCCCAGGACAGGGTGGCCAGTACTTCCTGAGCTACACCAAGGTCACCAGCCACATGGGGCCTCATCTCACAGCAGGATGGCAGTCGATGGCTGCTCAGCCACCTCCAGCCCCTCAGGCCCCACGTCAGAGGGGAGCTATAACTCACTGTCCCTCCCTGTCCACAGTTATTGGGCACCTGCTATGTCCCTGCACAGTGCCAGGTGCCAGGGAACAAGCTGGGAACAGGAAGACATCTGTGGGATTCATGTCTAGTGTGGGCCTGACCCCAAATCTCTTCGTTTGGGCCTCCTAAGTGGGGAGCAGGGCGGAGGCCATGGCAGGCCTTGAATCTACTTGGATGATTTAGTGGTTAAGAAATTTCACCAATGTGGGAAATGTTAGGTTACAACTCAACGTATTCTTTTTCATAGCTCCCCCCCCCCGCCTTAAAATGTGACATTAAAGATTTCTTTTTTTTTTTCCGGTACCAGGGATTGAACTTGGGTCCTTGCCTTTCCCCCTTTTTTGAGACAGGGTCTTGCTAGCGTTGGTCCAGACTGGCCTAGAACTTGAGATCCTCCTGCCTCAGCCTCATAAGTACTGGGATTACCAGAATATGCCACAGTGCTTGTCTTAAATCAAGTTTACTTATTTTGTTTTCAATACTAGGGATTGAACCCATAGTCCCTGCATGCTAGTCAAGTATGCTACCACTGAGCTACATCCCTAGCCCTTTTTATTTTTAATGTTAAGACAGGGTCTCACTATGTTGGCCAGGCTGGCCTTGAACTAGCAATCTTGCCTCAGTCTCCTGAGTAGCTAGGATCACAGGTATGTACCACTACTGCAGGCAGGTTTACTTTCTTCTTTCAAGTCTTGGACATAAAGTGCTCATTGTAAAGGACATGACTCAGGAACAGCCAGATGGAGGAGGTACAGGGAGAGGTATGCGGGGGGATGAGGAGGTTCTATGCCCTCTGTGCCACCTTGCACCACTCTCCCAAGCCCTCCATGTGCCCACCAACCCGGAAGCTCTTCTGTGTCACTTTGACCCCGGAAGATGACCAAGGGAGAAAAGTTAGAAGTTTCTAAAATCAGAGTAGCAAATTTTCCTTGTTTTGATAAAGAAACATTAAATGGAACTCCTGTGCTCAAGGGATCCTCCTGCCTCAGCCTCTGGAGGAGCTGGGACTATAGGCAAGCACCATGCCCAGCCTTTTTAGTCTTTACTTCAAATACTGATATCAGGACCTCAGTGTATTCGTTAGTAGAAAATAAGGGACTTTATGGCTAAAACCCGAACTACTTGAATCTTCCTCTTGTTCTTTTCATTCACTGAATACTTTAACAAGATGATTCACTTGGGGGCTGTCAGGGAGGATATTGTCTTTCATCTTTGTCCCCTCAAAACAACCTCAGATGAGGAAACAGGCTTTGAGGGCAACGGGCCTTCTCAGGATGACCCAGCAGACATAAGGGGACCTGTGCCCTCCACGTTTGGGGACAGGGAGGGGGGAAGTGGGGCCACTCTGTACCTCTGGGACAAGCCCAGGTTGGGGCTGCAGTCCCTGGGGGCAGAGGCCCAGACCCCTCGACTGGATGTGAAACTGCGCTGAGGCCTGGGATGTGCTCCAAACATCAAAATTAGCTTTAGTCGTAATTATGCCAGTAATGGCTGAGCACGTTCTCAGGAAAGCCCAGAACAGAGCAGAAATCTGGGTAGGAAGGGAGGGGCCCCGAAGTCCCCAGGGAACCTGTTTCGGCTGTTCATTCCTGGCTTGTTTGTGCCTTTATAATCTGCAGAAGGCACAGGGAGATGGAGGCGAAGGTGGGCTTGGCGTTTCAGCACGGGTCATCCCTGCGGACGCCTCTGATCCCCGCTGTGGAGACTCCCTTTGCTCTGCTCCTGTGCTGAGCTCTGACAAACAAGGACACTGCTTTGGGCCTCAGACTGGGAGTAGCAGGAGTGGCAGGGTGTGTGCCCGCTGGGAGACCCTGGCCTGTCCCTTGACCATGCTGGGCAGGTCACCGCCTACCCCCACATCCTCTCTCCCTACACATGTTCACATGTGTGCGTACACACACACACACACGCAGATACTCTGGCCCTCCTCAGGGTTCCCAGCTGGGGAGCCCTAGCCATTCTCGGAGCATGGCCCTGGGGAGGGGGACGGGGGCCCTCCGTGTGAGGCTTGCCAGGAAACCACAGCCCTGTGGCGTGGGCTCCCTACCTCCTGGGGGCCGTGCAGCAGGTGTCCTGGCTGCAGGAGGCTGAGGCCAGGTGGCAGGATGGAGGCTGGAGCAGGAAGCTCCGCAGGGCTGTCCTCAGGCTTCACAAAGGACACACAGCAGGGAGAAGGAGCCACTGGCTCTGGGCCTCCTGTGGGCTCTGGCCCTTGTGAATGCACAGCCAACACCATGAGCAGACACCTCAGTACCCACTGAACTAGGTGAGCACCTACTAGGCACCGGGCAGCAGCAGGGAAGCAGAGTCAAAGGACTTGGCAGACAGGGGATGAGATGTGCCGGGGTGGAGCGGCAGGGGGAGAAACATTCTGGAAGGAAGGACGGTGGTAATTAGGGGTCGAGCTTAAATGGGAATCAGAGAGGCCTGGAGAGAGGATGACCTTGGAACAGACAGGGAACAGTGTGAGCACTGCACAGTGACCAGAACAGGGCCGGTGCCACCATTCCTGGCTCACAAGGAAGGGAAGCCAAGAGAGGGGAAGGGGACCAGCCAGTCAGTCCCCAGGCCTGGAGTCCTCCCCCAGGTCTGGGTGCAGACAGTGCAGGGAGTGGGGCCAGCCCAGCCCTGGGAACCTGTGGCCCTTCAGAGAGAGCTGGGCTCTTATGCCCCTCAAACACTGGCCCCTTCCTAGGTGGTCTGTGGCACCTCCTTGTCCTAAGTGGGAGGTAGCTCCTGTGCAGGTGGGGGTACAGGGAACGGGCTACCCACCATCCCTCCCTGAGCTGGTCCTCAGCAGCCCCAGCCCCTGGCCAGGTCACCGAGGTGGGCTCACAGCTGAGTGTGGAGGGCTGGCAGCTGCTACCTTGTTTCTCTGCCCCCTGCCGTTGTCTCCCTTTACCCCCTTCCACAATGGGCCACCCTTCTGGCCCTGGGGTCTGGGGGAGAGGGGGATATACCAGCTGGCACCTTTTGACCGGGTCCCCGAGTGCAGGAGCCCCGCCAGCAGGCCCAGCAGGCTGTGTGTGCTGGGACAGGCATGGTGGGGCTGTCTCAGGGCTGTGGAGGGCTCCCTGTACCCAGCCCTGCAGGCCACTAACTGGGAGAGTGGACACAGGACAGGCACAAGGTCTGGCTCTTTCGTTTCTCAGCCTCATGGGAACCCGAGAGGTGTAACAGGTGGGGCGTGGAGGGAAGTGACTGGCCTAGGTCACAGTGCGCCTCCCGGGCCAGCTCCTTTCCCAGCACCACTTCCTCTGTGGCCAGGTGCGGCCTCTGGCCCCTGCTCCCCGGGAACAGCAGATTCCCAGTGCCACGCTACAGGGCACCCTCTTCGATAGGGGCCCAGGCCTGCAAGGATGGAACATGGCACCAGACTGGGGCTCCTGCTGCAGAGAATGGGAGTTCCCTGGGGCAGGCCTAGGGGCTCACTTCGATGAGGTGGCTTAATGGGGACAAACAAATCTGTGACCTTGAGCAAGGCCTGCGTGAATCTTGGACATCTCACCCAAAACCTGCTTTCCTAAGCTCATGAAAGCAGGGACCTGGTGGCTTCCAGGCCCAGCAGAGGAAGCATCTCCTGTGGGACCCTCAGGCTGCCACCTACTCAGATCTGTGACCCAGGGTCCTTGCCCACCCTCAAAAACTGCCTCCAAGCTGGGCATGGTAGCGCATGCCTATAATCCGAGCACTGGGGAGGCTGAGGCAGGAGGACTGCTATGAGTTTGAGGCCAGCCTGAACTACACAGTAAGACCCTGTCTCAAAAAACCAAGAAAAGAAAAACCTGCCTCTAATCATCAAGACCCCATTCTACATAAGAGGGCAGGTGACCTCCCTGAGGTCAGGGTGTCACAATGCAGGTGAACCAGCCTCCTGCCTCCCTCTCACCAGAGCCCCAGGCACAATTCCAGGCACATATGGCACAGGGATGGTCACACTGCCTCCCTCATAACCCTCTAGGACCCTCCTATGGGCCTCAGGGTGGTGTGAAGCAACTACTCTGTCCATCCATCTCTAGCCTTCTGGGGACAGCAGGTCTGAGGGCACCTGACTGCCATCCACATGTCACTCGGCTCTGCTGTGAGGCAGGGGCAGGCCACCTCCCACCCTGAGGCGGCCTCTCAGTTCTAGACCCTGCCAAGTTCGGCAGGGAGCTGGCAGCAGTGACATGTCAAGTTCCCCCAGCACTTGGAAGGCTCCCAGGTCCTCGCTGGAGAATGCGATGCCATTTCTCTTGTTAAATGGCACCAGGTGGGAAAGAAAATGTGGCACAGGGACCTGGGGCAAGAGATGTGCCCATGCTGGCTGGAGGCAGGGTCAAGGCGGTGGGATGGCCTCGTGCCTGCAGCAAAGGTGAGGTTCCCAGGAGAGGGGCAGGCTATGTCCACAGCAGCCTCCCCATCAGTCCCCAGTGGCCCTCCCCACCCCCAGCGCCTTGCAGAGCCTGCTTTATAGCCCAGGGCCCTGAGGACAGTGCTTGTCTCGGGAGGCCCCAGGCCTTCTGAGGCCACCTCCTGGGCCTCTGCTCCTGGCTTCAGGGACTCTGTTCTACCTCTCCTGTCCCCAGCTCAGGCCCGTTAAGCAGAGATGCCGCACGCTGGGCAACCAATGCACAGGGCCACTGGGCTGGCTCAGCTGCAACTGGCTGTGTGACAGAGGCCGATAATAGTCTCAGTTTCACAAACTGTGGAATGGGGAAACATTGGTGACCTCACAGGTCTGTTGGGAGGGTGAAGGAGTGGCTGCTCTGTGAGAAGAGCTCGGTGAAGCATGATATGCCTGAGAATATCAGGTGACACATGGGGCCTCAACCAGAATCCGCACAGCTGAGCTCCTTGCTGGGGCCAGGCGGCTACCTCGGAGCAGCCAGGTAGAACAAGGCCTCACTGCACACAGGCGACATGGGTGGCCCGGGCCAGGTTCTGGTGGCAGGCCTTGCCCTCAAGGCACTGACAAGGGTTAGAAGTTGGCCCCTCTTCTACAGACAAGCAGGAGCCTGGCTGCACTGGTGATGCAGGTGACACCAAAGCTCAGGCCAGGGTGTCAAGCAGGGCCAGCCTGGGGCTAGGGGCAGGTGAGGGCAGGAAGTACCTGGCTCTCCTGCCAGGGACCCCTCCTGCCAGGCTGCCCCTCGCCCCAGCTCTGTGCGCCTTCCCCTCTCCCTGCGGGGCTTTGACCTGGATGACAGGGTTTCAGGGCCTCGCCCCAGCACTTCCACAAATATCCGAGTAGGTCTGAGGCAGGAGGAGGTACCGGTCACCTTGTAATCTCTCCCTGCCCACACAGCTTCTCAAGGCCGCACACACCTCTGACCGTGGCGGCGCAATTCCCAGTTCTTGTGCCAAGCTCTTCGTGATTCCAAGTAACAATTACTGTTCAAGCGCCTCCCACCTCATGCTCTGAGAACCACCAAGGAAACACACACCCGTAGGGAGTAGCACAGCCTCAGAGACCTCCCCTGTCACGTCATTCAACCCTCACAATGCGACACTGTGGGCAGACCATCTCTATTTATACCTGGGGAAACTGAGGTTCCCAGGGGCAACAACCAGGTTCCTAGGCAGAGCAGGGGCAGGATGTGGGGTCCCACTAGGCTCATGGAGCCCACAGAACCCCCACCCTCTGCACTGTTCTGAGTCAGTTTCCTCATCTGCAAAGTCAGATGGTGGAGGAGACCAGTGATTTTCAGAACTTTTTTAGCCACCGGCCTTTTGTTCTAGTGAAACCTTAAGTAGCAATGTGGTATCACAAGATGAGGATGCAGCCTCCGGCAGAGTGAGTGGGGAGCGTGGGACAGGAGGCCGGGAGCTGGCCCGGCCTGCCATGCCCTGCCTGTCCTCACCAGCAGCGGAGGGGCCCTCACAGCTCCTCCAGCGGGGGGCTCTCGGGGCTCCGCAGCAGTGACAGCAGGTTTAGCGCTGAGACGCCAGGCACGTGGCCGGCGCAGATCTGCAGCATGCGCACCAGGCGCTGCGCCATGCTGGCTCGGAAGCCGTCCACCTGCAGGGAAGGCAGAGGAAGGGTATGAGTAGGCTGGGCTGTGGGGCTGGGGCGGGGACCTGGGCTCCATCCTGGCCACACCGCACCATGCAACTTCCCGCCACCCGGGCTTGCCCAGCCTTTCAAATGACCTCCAGGACAGCTGAGGGTAGGGGGGCCAGACGGGCACCGACTCCGCGTATTTGTACCCCGCCACTTGTCACCCACGACCTCCTTGGTACAACAGCCAGTGGGGACTTCTCAGTCCACACTGCACTGAGCCACTGAAATGCGACAGCTCCTCGACCCTGTAAGAGTGCGATCTGGTTCCTGCCACTCACACTGCTCCCTCCTCTCTGGCCAGCATCGGAACGCTGGGGTTCCAGGGCTTGCTCTTTGGAGTTGGCCTCCCACATTCAATCCCTAGGTGACCTCATCCCCTTCTGTGGCTTTGAAGCCACCTAACTGCTGATGTCACACACGTTACTGCTGCAGACCTTCTCTCTGAACACCGTGTGCAGCTGTGTGCGCCACCTCCCCCCTAGACTGTCAGAAGCCACCTCGGCCAGAGGCCCAGGTTTGCCCTGCAGTCTTGCTCACCTCCGCCGAAGCCACACACACTTTCCAGTCACCAGGCCAGAAACTTCAAACATCCTTGACTCCTCTTTTTGTCACATCTCACATCTGGCCATCAGCACATTCTCTCCCCTCTACCAGGGAAACAGCCAGGGTAGTGGACCACCCTACTGGGCTCTTCCCCAGCCACCACTGAGTGCAGGTTGCTCTCAGCTCTCCCAGAAAAAGCCCTCAGACCAAGCTCTCATCTCTGCCCTCGCCCCCTTGGGCCCCTCTCTCCATAGCAGCCAGAGGAGCCTCTTTGAACCAAGTCAGCCTCATCTGTCCGGGGTCCCAGGTTCCCCAGCAGCTCCAGTCTTCCTCTGATAAAAGCCACAGCCTTTACCATGACCCCCGAGGTGGGGTGGACCTGGCCCACTGCTGATTCCCCCACCCCCGGCCTCTGCTGGCTGGGCTCCAGATCCCTGGGCCTCCCTGTCATATTCTGGTGACACCAGGCAAGTTCCCGACGTAGTGCCTGTTTTTGCCGTTGCTTCTGCCATCGAGCATGCTCTGCCATCACGGCCCGGCCTTCTGTTCCTTCAAGTCTGTCTCACCTTTGAAGTGCAGCCTCGGGGTCAGTCTACATCTTGTCCCTTTCCCTCCACCTGACCTCCTTCACCCCTCTCCCTGTTTCAGTGCCGAGGTCCAACCCCAGGTCATACATGTTCCGCAGGTGCTCTGCCACTGAGCTATATCTCTTGCTATGCTGCCTAGGTTGGTCTTAGTTTCTGGGCTCAACTGTCCAGGTGGAAGCCTGACCCCCCCGCCAGCCTCCCATAGGTCACTGCACCAGGCACCAGAATTTTTACTGTTCTGTTCTACGCTGTGCCCCTAGTGCTTGGAACGGCTCACTGCATATGCATAAGAAGTATTTGTTGAATGAGTCCTGATCTAAATTCTTCGGCCTTTGCCCCAACCCCATCCTCAAGCTGCTGCTATGGCTTGGGATCCACAGTTGGCCCCTCCCGTCCATACACTGCCTTTAGAGACAAAGCCCCAAGCCCAAGTCTGACCACGGTCCCAACTTCGTCCGTGACTTACTGGAAGAAATGACTCAATTCCATGCCAGGCTTCCAAGGCCCAGGGAGTCCTCCTGCTGTTGTGCACATTATGTGTTTGATTCTGACTTTGTCCCTAGCTTCTGAGAGGATGGTGCCAGTGTTGACCTCATCTGTGTGCTCCGCCAGCAGACCCTGGGAATTGCTCCACTGGGTGAATCACACACCTCCCCAGATGTGTTTCCTGGTCTGGAAAGGGGGCTGGCAATTCCTGCCACAGAAAGGCCTTAAAACACGGTGAGGCTCAAACTTGATTCTGTAGGAGGGTGCGCTCTGGGAAGGACCACACAGGCCTGTGGAGTAATGAAGGTCCACACATGGCGGGCGTCACTTGAAGGATGCAGGTCCACGCTCTGAGCGGGTATTTTTGCAGCCCCTGAGGCTGACTGGAAACAGGTGGGACCTCTGCTTCCTACACGGCCTTATCTTGAGTCAGTTCTTAGGCTAGAAGAGGACCCAGACCTGGTATGGCCTGCCACCTCATGGCCACACACAAAACTGCACCACTTGTGATAAGCTTAGCAGGTGCACCGCCACCCACACATGCCCGAGTTGTGATGATTCTTCAGTTAGGGAAAAGAAAACTAAGACTTGAGGGGAGGCCTACGGGAGAAAGGTGGCTTGCTCAAAGCCACACATCAGCAGGCTAATGTGGAGAGGCAGCTGGATACCAGCTGGATGGCCCTGACTTACAAGCTGTGACAGTTTCCACAGGTTTGCTTTGAGGAAAGTCTGGCAGGGAGGCAGTTCAGGTGTGCCAGGACCTCAGGGTTCAGTCTATAAGATCCATCAGGAGTTTTAAAAATAGTCACCCAATTTGAAAAAAAACCCAAAACTGTGATGAAAACTGGGTGTGGTACCACACGCCTGTAATGCCAGCACTCTGGTAGGCTGAGGCAGGAAGATGGCAAGTTCCAGACCAGCTCGGGCAACTTAGCAGCTTGGTGAGACCCACATCAAAATAAAAAATAAAAAGCTAGGCGTGGTGGTGCACACCTGTAACCAATCCCAGCACTCGGGAGGCTGAGGCAGGAGAATCATAGTGAGTTCAAGGACAGCCTGAGCTACATAGTGAGTTTGAGGCCAGCCTGAATTACACAGCAAAACACTCTAAAAAAAAAAACACCAAAAATCAAAAAAACAAAATAAAAAAATAAAAAAGTGTCTGGGGATGTAGCTCAGTGAGAAGGCCTAGGGTTCAACTCCCGGTACTGGAAAAACAAAACAAAACACCCACACAAATTTGTGACGCAGTAGTTTGTGCGCCTTTATCAATGTGCTGGTCCAGGGCCGACCTAGACCAGGCCTAACAACTAGAACATGGCCAGAGCGGTAGTGAGGTCTGCCTAACCCTAATGTAACACGCAAACATGCCATTTCCATGGTGACAGTCACAGACACTGCTATTCCTCCGGACACACTTGTTTAGACTGGCAATGCTCAATTTCACTTAGAGGTTAGCAGGGAAAAAGAAGTAATTTCTTTTTTCTTATCTGTTTTCACAGATCCTCTGAATTCTGCCCTCAGACCAGATAGGGGAGAAGGATATTGGGCGGACTCGGTTTTCTCTGCATTACATCACTTTGCCTTTGGGAACAGGAGTCAGACCCAGAAGAGTGCAAAGACAGATTTTCAAAATGAACTTTAAAACTAGTAAACGGATCCCCCAGGCAAGTGAGCAGGCCTGGCGCATGGGTGGGCAGCCCTTGAAAGCCCTAGCACCCCTCCCCGGGAGCACCTGGGCTCCTGCTGAGGACCTCACGCTATAAGCCCAGCCACCCACCACCCAGCAAGTGTCCGTCCCCATTGCCTGCTTGTGCCCTGCTCTGGCTGGGACTGGACAAACCCTACAATCCAGGGAGCCAGGGGACATCAGGCACGTGACTTCCGAGGAGACACGAGGACACATTGGTTGATGAAACACTTAATGACACCTGGTCTCAGAAGTAGGGCAGTGAGATATCAATCTGGACCCACAGGTGTACACACGAGACTTCCCAAGGCACAGGTTAGCCGAGGTCACGGCCAGGGAGCAGAAGAGCCAGGGTCTGGTGTCTCCCTCCACATGGCAGCCACCTCATCTGGGGACTTGATGACCCTTCCACAAGCATTCCTGATATGCCCTTTCCCGCACCTGAGTGTAACACCCACCACCGAAATCGGTATCCTCACCTCCAGGTCACAGAAGAGCAGGGGGCTTCGGTAGGTGTGGGCCAGCTTCCTGACTGTGTTCCGGTGGATGCTGCAGTGGCTGTCCTGCCCAGCTGCAAAGAGGCCAGAGATCTGCAGGCTGCACCCAGGGGCCCTTGGACAAAGCACTCACTGCCCCCTCGAGGTGCCAGTTTCTTACTAGTCCTGTTCTGCATCTTTTCTGGCCAGTTGAGACCAACAATTACAATAAAGCTGAAAGGGCTTAGAGATAGTGCTCTGTAACACACAAGACTCCTCATTACGAAACAAGACAGTGAGCACTCCTGCCCTGAGGAGTGACTGCAGAGCTGCTGAATCGCTGTGCAGAAGTTACAGGCACTTTTTATTCACCAGTGCTTATTGCGAATGATCTGCGCTAGGTCCTCCCCTCAGGCTCAGTTTAGCTCAAGAGGCAGACAGGTCACACATGTCATGTCCCAGGTGCCAGTGGGGGCACTGGAGCTGAGTTCTGAGGTATTCGTAGGGTTAGTAAGACAAAGGGCACAAAGTATTGGAGAGAAGCTGCATGAGCTCTCCCCGTTTAGTCACAGGGCCTAGGGCAAATTGCTTAACCTCATGACCAGTTTCCTCAGTTATAAAACTGGGCTGTTACCTACCCCAATGGGTAATGATATGAAAAACAAAACAACTACAAATCATATCTGGCACAGGGAGAGCTCAGTAAGGTTGAGCTGTTACCATTTCCACTGCCAGAGAACGACAGCTGACTCCAAGACTGAGAGCAATGGAGGGTGACACTAGACACAGAGGCAGAGGCCAAAGAGCAAAACACTGTCCCAGAGGAGTTTGGCTTAGACTCTGAAAGCTGCAGGGTGTCAGCGACAGCGCTGAGCAGTAGTGGGGTTATTGGTCCTCCGTCACTCAGGTTGCCGCTCTCCTTCAAGGGTGGCAGGTGAGGAGGGGCACACTTACCCCCTGTGGCCAGGAAGCACACCTTGCCCAGGAAGAAGCCGGCGTCCAAGTGGCACAGGGACTTCTCCACATTCTGCAGGCTTTGGGTGCCAGGCCGGGTGAGAAAACAAACCAGAAGACAAAACTTCAGAACAGAGACCACAGGACCCCCTGCTCCTGGATCCGAGGGTGGAGAATAAAAAGAGGGTAACAGGAACACCCCTGGAGGGACACTGTTCTTTCTTTCCTCTCCTTTCTTTTCTCTCTCTTTCTCTCTTTTTTTTGGTACCAGGGATTGAACTCGGGACCTTGCGCTTTTGAGGCAGGTGGCGAAACCACTGAGCTAAACCCCGGCCCTGGACACTGTTCTTTAATTAAAAAAAAACTACTTTTAATCCCAAAGTGACTCATGCTTGTAAAATAATCAAATAGTAAATACAGGGGCAAACATAGAAAGTAAACGTCCCCTCTCCCAGGACCACCATTCACTCCCAACTCCTGAAACAGTTTGGGCTATAACTCTTAGAACCCTTTTCATATCCAAACACAGCAGTCTGTAGAAGCTTCTACCTTTTGGGTACCACATGGACCCGGTCAAACTCCTTATCGCACTGCACCAGTGTGGATATGGTTTCACAGTGTCCTTCAGGGCTTCGTGTGTTGAAATTTGATTCCCATGATTTGGTATTAAGAAGGTGGCAAGGTAACTGGTTTAGAGGTGAGGCTTTGGAGGTGTTTAAGATGAGACACGGTCCCGACTGATGCTGGGGCTTTCATAAGGAGAGGAAGAGATACACACCTGTCTCCTCTTCTCTCACCATTGCCTGCGGACTCTGCCAGCAGGAAAGCCATCACCAGGTGCGGCCCCTTGACCTTGGACCTCCACAACTGTGAGGCCAAATAAACCTCTTTTCTTTTTTGCAGTACTGAGGCTTGAACCCCGGGCCTTAGTACTGAACTACATCCCTAGCCCCCTTTAAAAAACTTTTTAATTTGAGACAAGGTCTTGCTAAGTTCTTAAGTTGTCCAGGGAGGAGGATTGTGTGAGTTTGAGCTCAGCCTGGACAACTTATCGAGACCTTGGCTCAAACTAAAAAAAGAGAAGGGCTGGGAATGTAGCTGAGTCCAAAGGCCCTGGGTTCAATCTCTAGTACCATAGGGAGAGAAAGGGGTAGGGGGAGAGGGAGAGACAGATTGTTAAATGAACAAATGACACTCTTGGGACTCATCAGTGTCTTTCATTTGTTTATTTTTTCATCAGTGTCTTTCAAAAGCCCGCAGTGGCCACTGGCTCCTCCCTCTTCATCCTTTAGGTCCACCCCAGGGAGCCTTTCTCCACCTCCCTTCCTCCCGTCACAGGGAGGCCCCATCCCAGCACCCTTCCAAGACAGCTCTGCCTGAGTCCTGATGCCCAGCCCTGGCTCTCACCTGTACTTGCTGTGAAGGTTAATCACAAACACGACCAGGTCAATGCGGGGTCGATTCACGTTGGAGGGCAGAGGGAGGGACTTGGCCAAGTGACTGAAAAACAAACAACTGCAGGACTAAAGCTGCACACCCATCTCACAGTGACCTTCACACAACACCCACCCAGGAGAAGAGGCCGGCACACACTCTGGGCAGGAACTCAACCACTGAGCTCCGAGGCTTTCCTTAAAGCCTCTACTTCTGCCCATATCCACAAGTTCCTACTACTCATCTTCCCTTTTCCCAGATAATTAAGAAATACCAAAAAGTACAATAACTATAAAAGTTTAAAATACAAGGCCAGGGATTTAGCTCAGTGGTTCCATCAGCTGCCCTGCAAGCACAAGGACCCAAGTTTGATCCCCAGTACCAAAAAAAAGTTTAAAACACAGAACCCCCAAAAGTCTAGTCACCTAGAAATTACTATTAGCATTAGGATATTTTTCTGTACATCTCTTCATGTACATAATGTACACAATTCAAACAATAAGTATAGGATAACAGCATTAATTTAATTTGAATGGAACAGAAGCAAAATAAAGTAGAGCTGAAAAAGTGGATGTATTTTGGATAAACTTTTTTCTTATTCTTTTTTTTGTTGTGGCAGTACTGAGGGTTGATCCCAGGGCCTCACATATGCTAAGGAAGCAAATGCTCTATCACTGAGCTACATCCCCAGCTCTTATTTTTATTTTGAAATGGGGACTCACTAAGTTGCACAGGCCGGCCTTGAACTTGCAATCCCTCCTACCTCAGCCTCCACCACATCCTGTTGTCGACATTATTATTATATCCATTCATAGTTTGCTGACTTTAACTCTAAACTCAGCCCAACGAAGCTGCCACTGTCACTACGGGGGGGAAGGATTGGGGAGTTCTTGTTAGCAACTGAATGCTGCAGCTGTGAAGAGATAACTATTCTTACTCATAACTCCATCTTGTTTTTGCTCCACGAATGTAGGCAATTTGGTTTTTTGTTTGTTTGTTTGTTTGTGGTACTGGGTATTGAATCCAGGGACTTTGCACCGAGCTACATTCCTAGCTTTTGCGTTGAACTTTTACTGTGCTGACACATTTCTAGCATCCTCTCCCCTTAAAGGATTTTTTGAAGCTGCATGTGGCTTGTAACCCCAGCACCTCCAGAGGCTGAGGCAGGAGGACTACAAGTTCAAGACTAGCCTGGGAAATTTAGTGCCTCAAAATAAAAAGGCTTGGGATATAGCTCAGTGCAAAGGCCCTGGGTTCAATCCCCAGTACTGGGAGGGGGTAGTTTCCTTGAATCATTTATTTATTTATTACGACACAGTCTTGCTATGTAGTCCAGGTTGTCATCAAACTCAGATCCTCCTGCCTCTGCCTCCCAAATGCTGGGATTACAGGCGTGCACCTCCACACCCGGCTTGAATCTTGAATCTTAATTGACAACCATCGATCGATCACCTACACTGTCCCTCACGCCGGGTCTCGGGTACTTACACCCGCATCTCGGACGCGCAATCCTCCTTGAGCATGGAGTCCGCCAGCTGCTGCAGAAGAGCATCCTCCACGCCCACCAGCTGCCAGGGAGAGAAAGCGTGGGGTGGAGACTGGGCGGGGGGGGGGGGGGGGTTGTGTGTGTGCCCTCGAGAGAGAGTCCGGCGCCGTGACGCCCTTCCTGGGGATCAGGCCACAGCCCGAAGTAGGCTGGAGGGAGCTATCACCCGAGAGGAGGCCCCCGCGAGGACCCAATCTAGGCTTGGCGCTGCACTTACTCTCGACCCTCAATCTCTCCCGGGCCTCCTGGCCCCCCGAAGAGGGAAGGGAACTTGCAGAGGCGGCCAGACCCAGGGACACTAGAAAACCAAGTCTGGGCTAGGATGTCCAATTCGGCCAGTGAGCACGCCGCGCGCCTCACTACTTTCACCAATCAGAAACCGGGAAATCTGCCGCGCATCTATTTGTGAGTACGGCCTCCAGCCTCCGAGAGTGGCTACCCTGATTGGCTCAAAGGATGGTTCTCCCGCCTACCGCACTTGGCCGGAATAGCGCGCGCCATCCCTCAGAGAGCGCAGAGCCCAGGACGGCAGAGGAGCAACTAAGCAAGGAGGCAGACCGGGGCCACCAGGCCGCAGGTACTTACCAAGATGGTGGCCATGTTCAGGCCAGGCAGCTTGTCCAGTGGCCTCAACACCGACATTCTCGTGGCAGACCGAACGGCCACTCTCAAAGCCTGCGCCGACCTTTCAAACCTCCCCGAGCTCCGCCCCTAGTGGGTGCGAGGGGCACGTGACCCTCTCTGGGCGGGGCTTCAGGGCGGGGCGGGACGCTCTTAAAAGAACCGCTACCTCCTTTTCAACCGGGCGGCTCAGTGCTGGCCCCGGACCGTGTAGGTGCTGGACATATCTTTTTTTTTTTTTTTTTTTGGTACCAGGGATCGAACTCGGGTCCTTGCGCTTGCGCAGCAGGCTACGAAACCACTGAGCTAAATCCCCGGCCTGGACATATCTTGTGTACCACGTTTCAGGGAAAGATTTTCAGCGTTCATTCGTTGTCTTGTATTCATTCACCTCCTTCACGGTAGTTTTGATTTGTTCCAGACCTGCCTCTCCTTTGTCTTCCTGTCTCAAATGGCTATCCTTGCAGTTGCTCAGAACAAAAGCTTGGATGGTTCTTGACTGTTCTTTATACTGCATATCCAGTCTGTAAACAAAGCCCTCCTGTTCTGGGCATTGAACTCAGGGACGCTCTACCACTGAGCCCACCTCCAACACTTTATTTTTATTTTGAGACAGAGTCTCACTAAGTCGCCCAGGCTGGCCTCGAACTTGCAGTACTCCTGCCTCAGCCTCCCAAATACATGGGATAACGGCTGTGTGCCACTTCGCCCAGCTCTATTCCAACAATATTTCCAGGAGCTGGCTACTTTCTGCCACTTCCATTGCCATGCACGACCAGGACTAAACTACTGTCGTCTACCACTTGGCCCATTGTAACACCTTCTCACTGGTTTCCTGTTGTCATCCAGGTCCGCAGGCCTGCTGGCTATTCTCCACACAGCAATCAGAATCCTTTTGATATTTATTTATTTATTTTTGTTTGTTTGTTTTTTTGGTACCAGGGATTGAACTCGGGTCCTTGCGCTTGCACAACAGGTGGTGAAACCACTGAGCTAAATCCCTGGCCCAATATTTATTTATTTAGACAAGGTCTGTCTATGTAGTTCAGGCTGGCTTTGAACTCACTATATGGCCCAGAATGGCCTTGAACTCACAGCAATCCTCCTGCCTCAGCCTCTGGAGTGTTGGGATTACAATCATGCACCACCATGCCTGGCTAGAATCCTTTTATTTTATGTATTTATTTTTAAATTTTTCAATTTTTCAGTACTTGGGATTGAACTCAGGATCTTGCTCTTGTAAGGCAGGTGCGGAGCCACTGAGCTAAATCCCTGGCCCCTAGAATCCTCTTAAAATAGAAATTAGAGCAGACCTCTTCTCTGATCAAACCCACCAATGGCCCCTTCTCAGTTAGTGTTTGGCAGAGGCATAACATGACCTCAGGGGCCCTGAGTGTTCTGGCCACTGACAGTCTCCCTGACCTCATCTTCTGCCTTCTTTCTCCAATACCTCCTCCCACCACCACAGCCACTAGGCTGTTCCTCAGATATCCCAAGTGTCCTCCTGTCTCAGGACCTTTGCCCCTGCCATTCCATCTGGCTGAAATGCTCTTCTAAGTAGTCACATGGCTTGTTTCCTTGCTTTATTCATGCTTCTGCTCAATGTTGCCTTATCAAAGGGGCCTTCTTAAAGACTCTTTAGGGCAGGGGATTTAGCTCAGTGGTTCTACCGCCAGCCTCATAAGCACAAGGTCACAAGTTCAATCCCTGGTACCAAAAAAAAAAAAATGACTCTAAAACAGCGAGCTCCCTCATATACACTTCTCCCCTTTTTTTCCTTTTTATTTTTCTTTTTTGGTACCAGGGGTCAAACTCAGGACCATCCCTGGCCCTCCTTTTTCTTTTAAACTTTTATTTTCCTCTCCTTTTTTGCAATGCAGGGGACTGAACCCAGGGCCTCTTACATGTTAGGCAAGTGCTTTATCACTAAGCTATCCCTCTACCCCTTCACTGTTTCTGCTCTATTTTCTCCATAGCACTAATCTCCACTTCACATGTCATTGTCAAGAACCACCCACCATCTGAGATTTTCTCCTTATAAAGGAATATACTAGCTCACTGTTTACTGGATGCTGGCAGAAGACATGAAACTCTGGAAAGACACAAAGGACTCTTAATTTATAAAAGCAGCAGCTAGAAGTTCATATTGTATTCCAAGTCCTCCAGGCCCCATCAGGGACACCTGTGTAGCTAGTGGCTGTTCAGCATTATAGTGAGCTAAGCATGCCTGTTCTTTGTCTAGGGAAGGGGACATCAGCTCATCCTTTAAGGTCCCTTTGCAAACACAAACCTGAGAACTAGCCTGGGTAAAGAGCTGTCAGGATCTTGTTTCCATAGCAAGAAACAAGCAGAACTGCTCAGGGACCATAGCACACTGCTTCTCATAACTGTAGAATTACTTGTTCAGTACTTGTCTCTCCAACTAGAGTGTAAGATACCTGAAGTCAGTGACTGGTCGGTTTGTATGTCCAGCACTCTAAAAAGTGCCTGACACCTATGTTGCTCACTAAATATTTGTTGAATGCATGGATTGATTTACATCCATTTTCAGCGTTCATTCATTGTTCAGTTCAGACCCAGTGCCCCACCCTGGAAATACAAATGAACCAGGCCTCATTGATGAACCCTGGGGTGGGGGGAGGCACCACAGTTGTGACATCAAGGAGAGCAGAGGTATATTCCTTGTCTATCCTAAGTCCTTCTTGCTGCAGGCTACATTGTCTTGCTCAGAAAGAGCAGGAAGTAAATGACTTTACAGAGCCCCTTCCTCTGCCACAGATGGGGCTTTGATTCCTTGTGGCAAGGGGTGTGGAGGGGACTCCCTGAAAGTCAAGTAACAGTGAGAACCAAGAAGAGCAAGTGGAGCTGGCAAGGGACCTGCTGGGTGGGCGGGAGCTGCTTCCAGTCAGGGGCCTCTCTAAGAAGGTCATGTGTGAGCAGGTGTCTGAATCCATGGCAGAGCAGGGGCTTGAGGTGGAAGGAAGCACAGGTGCAGAGACCTGGTAGGGGGCACTTCTGAGGCCTAGCAAGGAGCTGAAAATGAGGGAGAGAAGGTGCTGGAGAGCAGGTCGAGGCCCAGGTGACTGGCTGAGGTCCTTAGAGGGTCACAGGCCATGGAAAGGCTCTGGACCCCAGCCAGGACTCTAGGAGGGGCTGAGCTGAGACTTACTCAGTCAGCAGGCACTGAGCATCTGCCTTGGCCAGGTGTGGTGCTGAGTACAAGGACCCGGACTCCGGGGTGTTGTCCTGCTCCAGGGAGTTGGCAGTACAGCAAGTGAGGCCATTGGAAGCAGCCAGGGAGCAACAAATGAAGGTGCCCAGATAACAGTGCAGTAAGTGTCCCCAGGGAGCCCGTGCTGGATGTCACTGGGGAGGTGATGACTGGCTGAGTTGCCCGATGTGACTTGGTGCTTGTCACATGGGCCGTGGAATGGAAGGTAGTAAGTAATGTATAGGCGCCATCCTGCAGTGAGGGTAGGGATTGGCCTGGAGGTCTTGCGTCACAGACACCCAGAGCTGGCAGGGCCAGCATTTTGAAAACTGGCTTCTGTGAGGTCCTGGAGAGAGGCCCTGGGGCGTGATGAGAGACAGAGGGAATTGAGTGGGTGGGATCCAGAAATACCACCCTTAACAGGAGGAACCCTAGCTTTATCTCCAGTGCGCATTGAGCTTCCCATAAAGCTTTTGTATAAATAAGGAACTAGTGACCTAAACAATACCTATAGGCCACTGATGATGTTTGACAGATTTATCAAGGTATAATTGACGTTAGAAATTACTGTATTAGCTGGGCATACCTGTGGTCCTAGGTACTTGGGAGGCTGAGGCAAGAGGACCACTTAAAGCCAGGAGTTTAAAGGCAGCCTGGGCAACATAGCAAGGCCCCATTCCAAACAAAGAAACAAACAAACTACTGTACACACATCTAAGGCATACAGTTTGGGATTTTGAGGTGTGTATGTACCTAGGAAGCTGTCGTCACAGCCCAGGTGCTCGTCATATTCATTACACTCCAGTGTAGCCCTGAGTAACCGTCCCCCCAAGTCCTCTCTGCCCTCCCACCCCAAACTGTTAAGAAGCACATTGACAGCCTTGCTCATTGTGGCCCCACCCTGGAGACAACCTGACGTTCTTCAGTGGGGAGTGGATAAACAACTCTCGGTGAACTGAGGTGTGTGACAGTGTGGGTGACTCGAAAAACCATTATGCTGAGAAACAGAAGCCAGACACAAAAACGCCGGCTGGTGTGATTCCATTTATAGCAAACCCAAATACCAAACCAGTCCTCAGTGACAGGAGTCAGAGCAGTGAGTGCCTTTGGGGAGGGAGTTGTGGGGTTTTTTTGTTTTCGTTTTATTTTCAGGGCTGAGGATGGAACCAGGGCCTCTTATACACTCAGCACATGCCCTACCACAGGGCTTTCTGCCCCTACTGCCAGGGGTGAAAGTATGGACTGGCAAGAGGCAGGAGGGACCTCTCTGGGGTGATGGAGCTATCCTATGCCTCAATCTGGATGGTGGTGACACAGGTCTATATGTAGGCAAAAAGATTTGTACTTTTTTTTTTTGTATCAGAGATTGAACTCAGGACCTTGTGCTTATGAGGCAGGTGCTGTGCCACTGAGCTAAGTCTTGGGCCCAGATTTGTACATTTTAGTGTGAATTAAAAAGAACGTCTCTGTGAATTCACTCACCCCGCCTTTCCCACCTATGCTGGAGAGGACCCATCATATTTGCAGGGCCCTAGTTGGGCCTTGGTTCTAGTTGGCACCATGCCTGTGGGCTGGGGGACTGAGGCTCCTAAAGCCACTTCACCCACAACCTTTCCCACCTGCCTGTTATCAGGTTTCTGGGAATGGACTCTGGGGACCCAGTTACTGGAAGCCACTTCCCGCCCTGTGGGCCCCTGGGCCTGCTCTCTCCTGAGACCGTAGCCACTGCTGTTTATGGACAGCTCCCTGGGTGCCTGGCTACAGCCAGGGTGGGATCCAGGCTTGAGGGTGGACCCCGCATTCCCAACCCCGCCCCTGCTGTTGAATCCCAGTTTAGTGGGAGCGGCTAAGCGACTAACCAGGAAGGAGAAGGTAAACAGCTTCACCCCTGGGAGTCTCTCAGGAGTCTCTGCTGCGTCACCTCCACAGGTTGTGTTTAGATGCGGTTTGTGTTTAGATCTCCCCCCAAAGCCTCATGCGGATGAGGTGGGACTTGCTTTTTCAGAGGTAGTTGAATGTGGAATGCGTGATGGGGTTAAGGGTGTGTGATTACTAAACCACTACACGTGAGTGATTAGTTTGGCACCGCGCTAATCAGGGTAGCCTAGATGGGATAAAAGAGGCAGAAAGACGCACCTTTGCTACCTTGTGCATGCCATGTTGTTTCTGCTCTGCCATGCCTGTTTGTCATCCGTCCTTGGAGTCAACCAATTATGGACTGAAACCTCTATGAACTGTAAACCAAATAAACCCCTTCCCTTTTAACTTGGGGTTTCTGGTATTTTGTCCCCAGCAATGAGAGAAAAGTAACTAACACCCCCCCGCCCAATACCCGTGGTGGGGAGTGGAGTGCTGTGTGTGGTGTGCCTTGGGGTAGGGGTACCCAGTGCCTGGGAGCCATGACCGTTGCAGGCCGAGCTCTGGCCTGAGGAGCTGTAGGGCTCCTGAGGCAGGATGGAGAGGGGAAGCCCCTGTGGGGGCTTTGACCCTTGCAATGCAGGGTGACTTTGGTTGAGTCAGTAGAAATAAGGCCCTGAAAACAGTGTCTGGTGCATGGTTAAGTGCTCTGCTGGTCCAATTGTCCGGACACAGTCTTAGTCCTGGATCTTCCCTCTGTGACACGGAACCCTCATTAGGGCTACCGGTTTACTGCTTCTCTGTCCCCATCCCCTTGCCATAGCCTAATCTCTCCCTACTCCCCATCAGCCAGCCACCAACCCTTCCCAGTTATCAGCTAGGGTTCTCCCTCTCTGGGCCCAGCGGCCTTGGGGCCTAGCAGTCTGCTGAGCACCTTTCATCCCTCCCCAAAGTACCCCAATTCTGCTCTCCTTGTAATCTGCTGTACCACGTGCACAGTAGAGAGATCCAGAAAAGGAGGTTGGTTGCCTGGGCAACAGAGGATAAAGCCCTTGCTGTGCTAGGCTGCTGATTGGCTGAGAAAGGTCCGCCTCCTGCCATCCTGAGAGTGGGGGGTAGACAGAAGGGTCTCTGATGGGCAGGGAGAGGTGCCAGGGTACTGAGTCAGCCCAGGACAACGCCTCTCTGTCCCAGTCAGAGCCCTGGCATGAGAAGTTCTGATTCCTGTTGGGGGCATTAGCTTCACCCCATCTCTGCCTCCAGCACCCAGAGTGGCCACAGATGGCAGTGTCTCTGGGGACAGGAGCTGCGACTGAATCCCGGGGCCGACACTGAGCTGCTCAGGCTGAGACGGTGTGCTCGGCGCAGAGCCCCCGGCACAGGCATCTGCAGGGCGTGAGGTGGGTCCTTGGGCACAGCGGGGGCACTGAGTGATGCCAATGGCTTGGGAGGCAGGGAGAGGGGCTCTGTAACCTTCACGTCATCCTAGGCAGGACCTTGGCTGAAATGGGCCTGGACAGTCCTTACAGATCATCTGGTGATCTCTATACCCAGCCTGCAGTGTGCATAGGGAACCCTGAAGCCCAGAGATGGTGAGGAATGGTCCAAGGTTACACAGAGGCCTGTGTTTTGTGTGTCCATTTAGACCATCCCCCCAGGACACCAGAAAAAGGTCTCCGGTTGTCTGCCTGACCAGAATGCCTGGAATTTTGTCCACAGGGTTGGAGAGGTTGGGGACCCTGAGCTCTGCTTCACAGATTGACAGCATTGCCGCTAAAATGGGCTCTGTTTTGCCCCAGCCTCCCATTTGCATGCTTAAGCTGGAAAGAAGCAGGGGTCCTAGCCAGGCCTGGGAAGGGCTCAGGAATCACCACAGCCTTCAGTCAAGCCAGTGTGGATCAGCCTTCCTGCCTGAGGGTCCCTTCCCTCCTGCTTCCACCCTGGCAGCACCATGCCACTCTGAACTCTCTCTTTGGCTCTCACAAAAGGTGGCTGGGTAGGAGGGCAGGGGGTCCAATGAGCTGCCCTGCCTCTGTGTGCTAGTCCTGACTTTGAACAACTAGTGCACTCTTTATCTTCTTCCTCTGTGAATAGGGGCCCCTTAAGCTGTTGTCCATGTTTCAGAACAGCCATCGGGGGCCCTGGGGTGGAGGAGGCAGGGGAAGCCCCAGACAGATGCATCCTTCCTTCCCTCTGCAGTTACAGCCTCCCTGGAGGTAGGGGGACAGGAGGAGCTCAAGTTTGGAGACAGAGGACCTGGGGCTTTTCCTCAGCCTGCTCTGGAAGTGACTTCATCCATCCGTGATTCCCACCCGCAGAAGCCAAGGCAGGGTCTCTGTCCATGTAGCCCCACTCAGGTGTTTCCCTGCCTGGCAGAACTCAACCCTCTGGACATCCCTGGGGTTTGGGGCCCCTGCCACTTCCCAGTGGGGTAACACATGGCAAATTATCCTGTGAGCTGTAGACAGTGACACCTACCCCATGCGCCTGTCCTGAGGCCTGGGGCAGAAGGGGCCCCTGGCCCACCGCTTTCTTATGCCTAGGGTGGGTTTGGGGTGGGTTCAATGGGTCCTGCCATTTCCATTCCTGGAGGTGATCTGTGATCTGGCCTTTAAAGTATAAATGGGGCAAGAGAGCAGGTGCAAAGCTGGGAACTCCGCCGTCACATGCAGGTGTACCAGGTGACTGGCAGGCAGTTCCATGGTGGCAGGCAGGGTGTGGTGTGAGTCTGGGGAGGTGGCACACAGCAGGCAGAGGTAGCTTTGGGCTGTGCTAAGAAGCCCTCTGACCAGGTACTGTTACCATCCCATTTTATAGATGTGGAGACTGAGGCTCTAAGCATATTGCCTGAGTTTTTGGTGTTTGTACCCAAAGCCTTGTAATTATGAAATGCCCCGTGCAGACCCAGTTCAGCGGGTGTCCTGGGACGAACACATGTTCACCACACTTTCACCAGGCCACGCCTGGGATGGCAGGGGCTGGGGCAGCCACTATGACTAGGATGAAAGGGCCCAGCCCAGGGACTCAGGTAGTCATTGTGCCACCTTGACTGAGTCCCCATTCCAGGGATTAGGCACCTCCTGGAATCCTCACGAGGACCTGTGTTAGCTTCCTCTACCACAGGGGAAGAAATGGAGGCCCAGAGAGATTAGGCAACTTGCCCAAGGGCACACATGCTGGACAGGGAGATAGCTGACCTAAGTCCCAGCCGAGGGGCCCGATGTCATGGGGATAGTTGGGTGTGTGGTCACGAGGCTCAGGCTGCTGAGACAGCATGTGGTCTCCCTCCGCCCCCCCCCCCCCCCCGCCTCAGTCTCCCCATCTGTAAAATGATGCTTGGGCCTTCTGGCTCTATGACCCTGAGGGTCTCTCTCTGGGTAGCTGTGACAAGGGGGCCCTCTGCCGGCCCTCACGGCCTGTGTCTCAGCAGCCAAAGCCGCCGCGATGCTGCACTTTCTGGACTGGTTCGTGCCTGTCTATCTGGTCATCTCTGTCCTCATCCTGGTGGGCTTCGGTGCCTGCATCTACTACTTTGAGCCGGGACTGCAAGAGGCACACAAGTGGCGCATGCAGCGCCCCCTGGTGGACCGTGACCTCCGCAAGACGCTGATGGTGCGGGACAACCTGGCCTTCGGTGGCCCCGAGGTCTGAGCTCTGAGCCCGTGTGTTGGAGGTGGGAGGCGCTGGTGCCCGGTGCCCTCTTCCTCCCCACTCTCCCCCAACCCTGGAGACCCTCTAGGAGGGGAAGGACGATCCCTTGGTCTCAGGCTTGACTCAGGCTTGAGTGTCAAAGCATGTGTGGTGGGTGGGTGGCTGGTGTGCAGACGGGTTAAGAGGGCAGGAAAGCAGGGGTGTGTGTGTGTTTGCACGTGTGAGGCCCGGGCAGTGGTGTGAGGACTGTGCTCGGTGGGTCCCACCTCTCTGCTGGCCTTTCCTTCCCCTTCCCCTAGGCTGAGGTGGTGGGCAGAGCCCCTGCCTGCCCTCCAGCCCTGTCTCATGCTGCACTTCCAGGGTTGAGCCCAGGCCCTCTGAGCCAGATCTTGACCCCAAATCCCCCAAGCCCACCCTGGAGCCCTCCAGCTGTGTGTAGCCTTCAAGGCTTGATTTGGACAGAGTGGTAACCTGCCTCACTCCTCCCCTGGGGGCTTCGGTCTTCATTTATTTGCAATAATAAAAACTTCCTGACCATTTTTGCAGTATTGTCTCCATTATTTTTAAAAAATATTAATTAATTTTTTTGAGACAGGGTCTCACTATGTATTGAAGGCTGGCCTTGAACTTACCGTGCAGCCCAGGCTGACTTCAAACTTGTGGTGATCCTCCTGTTTCATCCTTTCGAGGTGGGATTGTAGGTCTGGGGCATCATGCCTGGCTCTGTCTCTGTTCATGCAAATAGGATTGTGTCTATCAATTCACTAGGTCCTTATGAAAACTGTGATAGCTCCATAGTCCCTATGTTAGGGATGGGACACAAATCTCAGGGAAGGTTGAGGAGGGTTTCTTGACAGCAGCACACTGACATTTTGGGGCAGCTCATTCTTGGCTGTGGGGTCTGTCCAGTGCACTGTAGGATGCTTAACATCTAGGGTCTCTAGACCACTAGAGACCAGTATCATTGCTCCTTCTTGCCTCAGGACAACCAAAATTTTAAGTGGAACCCATGAGGTAGAGTACCAGTTAGGGTATAAATTCAGGCACCAACATGCAAAATAATAGGGCTTTAAAATCAAACAGAATTTTATCTCTGTGAATGGCACAGTCCAGAGAGAGGTTGTCCAGAGCTGGTTTAGTGGCTGTTTGGGCAATACATAGTCAGAGGGCTATCCTAGCTGCAAGGGAGGCTGGGAAGTATATATCCTTTAGCTGGGTGGCTGTGTGTCCAATTAAAAATTTCACCTTTGAAGTTGGGCCTGGTGGTGCACATCTGTAATCCCAGCACTCTGGGAGGGTAAGGCAAGAGGATGGCAAGTTAGAGCCAAACGTGGACAATGCAGCAACTCAGTGAGACTCTGTTTCAAAATAAAAAAGACCACAAGGGCTTGGGATGTAGCTCACTCAGTGCAAAGGCCCCGGGTTCAATCCCCAGTACTGAAAAAAACCAAACCAAAACAAAATTCTCCAAACCAAACCAAAACAAACCCACCACCTTTACAGTGGGAGAATATGGAGACCAGTTTATTCTAGCAGGGATTTCCTGAAGTTCACAGGACACTGGGCTGAGATTTGGACCAGATCTCCTGACCCCAGGTGAGGGCTCACGTTCCATATCCTGGAACGAGGAAAGGGGAAGCTACTCTTCTCTTCTTGAGGGACTGGACTGCTGTTTCTCCCTGGGGCAGACCTAGGAACTACATGACTGTTTTGCAGAGCTGGGACCAGGGTGAGGCCACGCAGGCACCTCAAGGTCACATGGGGCGCCTCCTTAAATTTGTCCCTGGGCACCTCCCTTGCCTCTCCCTAAACTTTCACCCAGCAGAGCCATTGTGCAGCTCTGGGTGAGTCTCCCACCCCTTCCCACACCAGGGGGCTGCCTGGCCAGAATCATCCCCCCTCACTACCATCCAAGACTCTTTGGTTCAGGACACTGGGGCTTGTGGCTATTATTCAGTTCTCTCTCTGTCTCTGTCTCTGTCTCTGTCTCTGTCTCTGTCTCTGTCTCTGTCTTTCTCCTCCCACTCTCCCTCCCCCTTCTCCCCTCCCCCTCCCCCTTTTCCTTCTCCGAATCCACCCTCATTGTTCATCATGGACAATAGCAGCCAGCTGCTGGCAAGTCTTGTATCTTACAGCTCCAACCCCTGGAAAGAAAGCCACCTGTCCCTGGATTGGCTCAAGTGCAGATAGCTCAGGGGACAGATCAGTTGGCTCTTCCTAGGTCATTTTAAACCAGTCAGGCCAGGCTGGGGCAGGGTCGCCTGTATGGGCCGGCTTGGGTAGTCAGCATGCCCCTGGCTTGCTCACCTCATTCAAAGGCAGCTGTCTCAGGATGTCTTCTTGGCGGGGGGGGGGGGATCATTGGGGGAGTTTCCCAATGATGAACCCCCACTCCCCAGCCTAGCCACACCCAACAGACCCTTGGAAGTGAACCTGAGTTTGGTTTGTCTCACACTGTGATTTGCAAAAATGCAAATTGGTTGCCAACATTTGAAGGCCAGGAGATTTCACATTAAAACTCTCTTTTCTGACTCCTCTTTAAAAATAAAAATTCTAGCCACGCTGAAAGTGAAGTGTGAACATGTTTGCGGCTAGGAAATTTGCACCATGGCAGGGGGTGTTGACTGGGACCCTCGAGGTGACCTGGAAGCTCTCCGCACAAGAGAGCTGCCTGTGTCCAAGAAGTTTAGGGTTCCCCAAATTTCTGTGCTCCAGTCTGGGTCCCTTCCCAGTCTTCTCCCCAGGGGAAGGGTATTTGCTCCTGCTCTTCCCACAGAGCTGGAGAAAGTTTCAGCTGGCCGAGTCACTCCCATGTATGCTAGGAGGAAACACAAACAGTCCCCAATTTATTGTGGTTCAACTTAACGATTTTTCAACTCCATCATAAACAGAGAAGCATCTCTATTCTAACTGGGACTTTTTCTGTAATGCTCTTGTTATTGTTGGAGCTTCCTGACATCCAGAGGGCAAGAGCAGACACAAAGAGGTCATTTTATTCTTGATATGTGATGGAAGGGAGGGATGAATTCTTTTTTTTTTTTTTGGTACCTGGGATTGAACTTGGGTCCTTGCGCTTGTGCAGCAGGCGGCAAAACCACTGAGCTAAATCCTCGGCCCGGGATGAACTCTTTGTGAATGACAAATTTTCTACTTCTAAATATGAAAAAGAGGCTGGGTGTGGTGACACACACCTGTAATCCCAGCACTCAGGAGGCTGAGGCAGGATTACTGTGAGTTTGAGGCCAATCTGTGGTGTTCAAGGCCAGCTTGAACTACATAGTGAGACCCTATCTCAAAGAACCCCCCAAAATATCTCAGATGTGATATTAAGGGCATCACAGCGGACTGTATCCGGGCACGGAGGTGGGACTTGTCCACCTGCCAGGGTGTGTGGGAAAGCTAGACTAGGAGGAACTTGAGATCAAAGCCTGACAAGAGTGAGCCCAGTGAAACTGCTCATTTAAATTGCACATCCTTGGGGTTCTGTGTACCAGGCTCTGAAATCACAGATGACTCAGACCCAGGTATGTGCCCCCTGCCAGTGCCTGGCATTGTGCTGAGTTCCCATCAGGTTTTTTTCTTTTTCTTTTTCTTTTTTTAGATAGGGTCTCACTGTGTAGTTCAGACTGGCCTTGAACTCACTATATAGCCCAGGCTGGCTTCAAATTCACCAAAATCTTCCTGCCTCAGCCTCTCAAGTGCTGGAATTACAGGCATGTGCCAACATGCCCAGCATATCAGGTTTATTTTCATTTCTCTCCTGCTGCCTCACTGGTGGTGGCAAATGTCAAGGGGGACAATGGGGACGAGATGCTGAATAAATGCTGAGTGTTGTGTAGCTGTCCTCTCAAGCCCTACAGAGGCAAGTTGGGTATCTGCTCCAACTCAGCACTAGGCCTGGCACTGAGAATACAAAAGTAAAGATGTAGTGCCTGAATTCAAAGAGCTCACAGCTAGAAACAGGTGTGTACATTGTAAATGAACTGTACGAGAAACTGAAAACAGCTGAAGAATGCCTGACTCCCGCTGGGTCCCGTGGTATCTGCCTGTAATCTCAGCATTCTGGAAGGCTGAAGCAGGAGGATTGCCTGTTGGAGCCCAGCCTGGACAACTTAATGACTTAGTGTGACCCTGTCTCAAAAAACCAATGCCTAACTCCTAAGGAAGCAGGTTGTAAAGCAAACTTCCCAAAGGTGGGGACTTGGGGAATTGATCTCAGACACTCGTGCCTGCTAGGCAATTACTCTACCTCTGAGCTATATCCTAAGCTGGGTCTTGAAGGTTGAGTAAGAGTCTTTCCTGTAAAGGGAAGAGACATCTCCCAGTGCAAAGTCACAGAGGCTATTGCCAGATCATTACTGACAGCTGGGAGTGGAGTGATTGAAGCACAAGGTGCTAGTGTTTTCAAAGGCTTTGGGAGGTTTTGCAAGGTCCTGGAGCTTTTCTTTCTCACCCCCTGGGAGCCCTCAGAAAGGGAAGGGTGGGCATATCTGGGCTTGGCCCTGAGCAGGAGGACAGAAAGCAGGAATGTGCAGAGTCCCTCGTGGGAGTGCCTGCAATGTCTGGACTCCAGTCAGAGGGCGGCACAAGCTTCTCATTGTTCCACCGTTGTGGCTCTCCACTCCGGCTGAGTGGGGAAGACTCTGGGAGGAGAGAAACCGGCTCTGGGAGAAGGGCAGAGGCTGCAGATTCCCTCAAAAGACCCTCACAATCTGGGCCTAGTGGTGTATGCCTGTAATCCCAGCACTTGGGAGGCTGAGGCAGGAGGATTGCCACAAGTTCAAAGCCAGCCTGGGCTACATAGTGAGTTGAAGGTCAGCTTGAACTACATAGCGGGATCCCATCTCAAAAACACCAAAAACAAAACAAAAAACCAAAGACCCTCACAAGCTCAGTCAACAAGCCTTCCAGAGGACCCTGGGTAGGAGAGACTCCGAATCTGGGGCCACATTCTATGAACCATGGTGAGTCCATCTCCCTCTGTAGCTTTGAACAGCTGGAACTGATGTGGAAGTCAAAGGAAATCATGGGTGCCAAATAAACAAGAGAATCAGAACTCCAAGGCAACAGTTTTTTATTTTTTATTGAGCCCAGGTCTCACGCATGCTAAGCACATGCTCTACCCCGTCACACCCCAGCCACAGAGGAAAGTTTCAGGGCTCACATGGATTGAGCTCACTGCACACACGTGATAGCTCCTCCGCCGGGTTGGGGCCTGGCCCGAAGGTGACATGGGGCAGAGCCAGCTGACCGCAGTAGGGTGGACAGGAGGTGCAAATGAGCAATTGGCCTTGGGAGTTGAAAGCCCCGAGACTTCGGAGTAGCTTGTTCCTGCAGCACAGAGCAACACATCCCACCTGATCCAATCCTCCCTTAAACTGCAACTCAGAGAATAAGCGCCTTGTTCAAAATCATGCAGCTCTAAACAAACCCAGGGTGGAGAGACCCCGGAGCCTGAGCTCCTTGTACGGGAGACTAACATCATGACATTGGAGGTCTACCTCCTCTGAGGCCTTCCAGGTTTGAGTCAGTCTCTGCTGGGGTGTATAGATGGAAAGTCGTCATTCTCACTTTTGGCCACCAGAGGGCAGCTGGACACTCAAAACAGGGAGAAAGTGGGGATAAAGTTGCAGCAAGAAAGGATAAGCAACGGTACTCAGGTCTTGTCCTCGAGGCAGAGAGGATGAAGCTATAAGAAACCACATGAGGGTCCCTATTTGAAAAGGTAGCTGAGAGGCAGGTGTGGTGGCATACAGCTACAATCCCAGTGCTCTGGGAGGCTGAGGCAGAGGGATCACAAGGTTGAGCCAAGCATGGGCAACTTAGCAAGACATTGTCTCAAAATAAAACATAAAAAAGGGCTGGGGAGGGCCAGGGATTTAGCTCAGTGGTTCCGGTGCCTGCCTCACAAGTGCAAGGTCCCGAGTTCGATCCCCGGTACCCCCCCACCTGCCAAAAAAAAAGGGCTGGGGAGGTAGCTTAGTGTAAAGACTCTGGGTTCAATTCTCAGTATCCCCTTCCCTCAGGCAACTGAGGCTCGGGAGGGCAAGTGATCTGCCAGAAGTCACACGGGAAGTCATTGGCCAAAGTGGGAGGAGAACCCAGGACCCCTGATTTTGAGGTACTGTTATCAAAGAAAGGGGGGAGAGGGGAGAACCCCAGACAGCACCTCTGCTTCCGGCAGGTTGCTCTGGTAACCAGAATCCAGCCATGTTTGAAAACCTAAAGCTTGAAGGGGAGAGGATGGATAAGAAGGGAGGAAGATCCTAGGCCCACATATTCACCACTCAGTCATTTCATTCATTCATTCTGTGGAAACTCACAGAGGCTGATTCTTGGCAGAAAATAATAAAATTCAGGTTCTTCAGAACTACACTGTCTGTTATGACGGCCATAAATTAAAATGCAATGAAATGAGATAAAGAGCTCTGTCCCTTGGTCAGTAGAGCCGAATCCTGAGTGCTCAGTAGCCATCTGTGGCTCGTGGCCTATTGTATTGGGCAGCACTGGCACAGAACATTTTCATTATCACAGAAAGTTCTATCTCACTCCAAAGACAGCGACACACGAGGGGTAGACCAGAGCCCACGGCATGTGGGGGCTCCCATGTCCTTTTTGGCAGAGAGCGGAGGGCAAGGCAAAGACTGATGGAGATGCCAGGAGAATGCTTAGCCTAGTTCCCACCTCAGAGTGAGTACCCGGATGTATCTGTGTCACTGGCCTAAGACAGTTACTGTGAGAAACTGTTTATCCCTCATCTTCCTGTGCAGGCAGTGAGCACCTCCCGTCTGGCACAGTGTCTGCACAGAACAAGTGCCCAGTAAATCTAGGATTTTATCATCATTTTTTAATTTAAATTGAACCCAGGGCCTTTGCACTGAGTTACATCCCCAAGCCATGCTTTATTATTATCATTATAATTATTATTATAATATTTTTTGGTACCAGGAATTGAACTTGGGACCTTGAGCTTTCGAGACAGGCGGCAGAACCACTGAGGTAAATCCCCAGGCCCCATGCTTTATTTTTTATTTGGAGACAGGGTCTTGCTAAGTTGCCCAGGCTGGGCTCAAACTCGTGATCCTCCTATCTCAGCCTCCCACACTGCTGGGATTATAGGTATGTGCCACCATGTCCAGATCATCTGTGTTATTTTTATCATTGCTATGACAGAGGCAACCCTGGACTGTTGCAATACAGAGGAGGGCACCCATCCCAGCTCTTGGGGCAAGGTTGGCAGAGAACCCACATCACCAGGGCCAGGCTGGGTGGCTTTGTGGGTCTCCTCAAGACCAGGAGCAGGGGTGGGTCATCTTCATACCCTAAACTTTGGGTAGAGTATAGGGTTTGGCTGGCATGAGCTGGGGCTCTGGAAATGGCTAAGGGGACAGACCCAAGCTCCAGGAATCCCAGCTTGCTTCAGGACAGGACATGATGGGCCGAGGCTCACAGAGCCCAAAAAGGCATGGGAGGGGTGCAGAGGGAAAGCAGGAGTGAGGCTGGCCTGGGAACAACCAGAGTGACACCATCTTTGGAGTATCACTGTTTTTACTGGACAGATCTTTCCTGGGGCTCTTCTGTGGGATACAGTACATCTGGGGGTCAGGGGCAGCCAAGCACCTCCCCTCCTGCTGCCCTGAGTTCAGAGCAGCTCAGTCTGGCTGTTGTGAGCCTCCCTTGGCCCTTTAGGATTCCAGAGGCTCAGAGCAGCCATTCACTGTACACCCACTCCCGAGGAGCCAGCTCCTCCCACCCAGGGCCCAGCCCAGCCACTGGGGATGTAGCTGGAGGGACAGGTTCCAGGCCTGGTTGCTGAGTGGGAGCCCTGGAGGGGAGCAGGAGAACAAGGTCCCTGAGCTGTCACCATGGGCAGCCTCTGGGTGTGGAGGTGAGGGCCCCAGCTTCCCAGAGCAAGAATCATCAGCCCTGGTCTTCTGATTAAGGTAGGAGGGTTTGTGCGTGTGTGTGTGTTTGTGTGTGTGTGTGTGTGTGTGTGTGTGTGTGTGTAGGAATAGGACCAAGGGACAACGGCGTTTCTGAGGGGCTGGGATCTGGGGGTGCAAAGACGAACATTTCTCAGCAGCCTTCTCCTGGGGCCACTGTCTGGCTGTGGGTGCAGTGAGTGTGGTGCGCCCAGGTGCATGGAGTTGTGAACGAGTGGGCAGAAAGGCAGGGCTGCAGGGTGTGCCAGCGGGGAGAGGACAGAGGCTGTGCAGTCTTGGATGCTGGCAATGAGGGGCTGATTGGGACCCTTCCACTGTTCTACCTCCCCTGTCCCTGCTCCGGACCTTAGAGCTGGCTATAAGATCGCTCCCCTCTCCCACAACCTTTACCTTCAGAATGAACCCCCCTGGCCAGCCTGCTGTGCTGAAAGCGAAGGAAACAACTTCGTCCTGGGGGGTAAATTCTATGAACCCAGGGTAGGCACCAGCCAGCCATTTGGGGGCTCTGGAGCCCACCTCAGGGAGTGGCCGATCATCTACCCGATCATCTCCACACCCCATTCCCACCTCCAGAAAGCTTCTCCAGCCCTGCCCTGCCCACCTCCACAGCCTGCAGAGCCTTTCAATCTTGTCCCTAAGGCTCCTTGTCTTAATTTTCTTGCTCTCTGATTCCTCTGTCACACTGCCCAAGTGACCGTTCACGTGACCAGGTCCTCTTCCGGGGCCCAGCATCTTTGCTGTGGCCTGCACCCTGGCTTACCTACAGCCTTGACTCTTCCCCCCTAGGCACAGCCTAGGATCCCCAGATTGGATTTTCAAGATTTTTCTGGACTTGGGAGGTCAGTTGGAGTTGTCCTGGGCCAGGCCCTGCCTCCCTGTGTTGACACAGAGGCTGACTTTTGCTCACCCGCAGTGTTTACTGCTGTGGAGCTCCGCCCACTTCCCTGCCTGGTGTCCCTGGGCATGGCAGTCTCCTCAAGGCCCGAGGCTGTGGCTTGTTTATAGGACAGGTGTCCTGTGAATGCTCATTACTTCTCTACTCCTCAAGCCCTTTCTCCAAGGGCCTTTCCAGCTCCGACTCAGGCCACCTTCACAACAGGTCAGCCCAAGACTCTTTCCTGGTTTGGGCCAGGAGCCCCAGATCCAGACCCCATCCTCAAGCCAACTGCTCATCAGATGCCCTCGGACCCAGATGCTGTGGGAACCCACAACCTCTCCACTCCTTCTGGGAAAGGCAGCTAGGATTTTAGTAGCCACAGGCCTTCTCCAGGGTCCCCGAATGTGTATGTCACCTCCGTGATGTTGTCCACAGAGGGGCCTGCACCCAGGCCAGGGCAGGGGGAGAGGTAAACCCCACAGCTCCATTTTCTCATGGATGGGCAGCCGGTTCACTGGCTGTGCCCACACCTGTTGTGTGGCAGCTGGCTGGGCACATGCATGGCTGGGTAGCAGTAGGAGCAGCAGGAAGACACACAGGATGGCCCCCAAAACAAGGTCTCTTCAGCCTTGCAGTGTCAGCTGGTGGTTCTGTTGTTGGAACTTTTTCTTTCCTGTGATTCCCCAGGGAAAGCTGAACAGCCTGGATGGAACACAACTTTGCCCCTGCTCCTCCAGAGATGCAGCCGCACACAGCGCCAGGCCCTGGAGCCTCCTTCTCTCGTAGTCACATTCTGGGGCACCCTACCCACCCCTCACGGCTCCCTGGAGGGGTGACTCCACTCATCCCTGTCCTCAGGAAGACTGTCCGTCTGGATGCCTTTCCTCAAAGCCATGTCCAGATTTCCAGTCGATCGGGTCTGAGAGCCAGGGCCCGGAGCATGTCCCCACAGGATGCTGGCATTGCCCCAGGGGCTCCGCTGAGCCCCCTGCCTGCCAACAGCCTTGTACCCAGGAAGCTCAGCTCCATTTCCTTAACAATCCATCAGAACAGCCATGCGCGGCCCCTGGACCCTGCACTGTCTCACTGGGAAGAATTGTCTACCCACAGAGGAGGGAGACCGTCTGCTCCAAGTTCACCCCCCTTGGCCCTAATGCCAGACAGCAGGGTCCACTCTGAGGGCCCAGGGAACCCAGGTCTGAGCAAACCCAGCAGGACGCCCACAGTGGAGAAGCCCGTGGTGGGCTCGTACCTGGCCTTGCCTTTTCAGTCCAGGCTGACCCCGAGTCCATTGAGCCTCACAGGGCCAGGCCCCTCGGGTCAAGGGCACACCAGAACTTCTCCAGGAAGAGGCAAGTCCCGGGCCAGGGGGATTCCCAGACCCCGGCTATGTCTCCAAAGGGCCACCCCTGTTAGGAATTTGGCTGCTGTGCACACAGCAAGGCCAGACATAGCCAGACATTTAACCACAATGGCCACCCAAGGACCTAACTTGGCTGTCAGTTTGTCCACACCAGATACATCCAGACTGGACACAGGTACAGAGTTCTCTGCTCTGGATACCAAGAGGGGCTCAACCACAGACTTATCTATAGCAGGTTCAGCCAAGCCAGGCAAAGCCAAGAACTTGGCTACTGCAGGCACAAACAAGGCTGGCACAGCCACAAATTTGGCTACAGTAGAGACAACCAAGCCGGGGAAGGTTGTGAATTTGGCAACCACAGAACCAGATGAGCTGGGCAAATTCATGGTTACAGTAGATGCAACCAAGCCAGATGTGACTACAAGGGGCACAGCTATGGCTTGGGGAAAACCAGATCCATTCAAGTTGGGTACAACCAGGTTGGACACAGCCATGGCTTTGGTGACAGCAAATCCCGCTGCGTTGGGCCCAGCTATGGATTCTGGTGCTTTGGACAGAAGCAGACTCGGGACAGCCGTGGGTTCAGTTGTGCTGGCCACACCAGACCCAGCCAATGGGGAGACCAAGCCAGACAATGTTAATAACCTGACCATATCAGACATTGCTGTCTACCCACTAATGGTAAGAAGAGGGATGGACGCAGCCCAGGACCATGCCACAGTGGATGCTGCTACAGAGCCTGCCACACTGGACCTGGCCGGAGAATACAAAGGTAAATGCAGGAACCAGGAGGTGTAAGAGAATGGAGATGGATGGTGCTTGGATACGTTGGCAAAGATAGGGAGGATTCTAAATTCAGAACTGAATGAATGGATTGGGGGAAAAAGGGAACAAGGGGTGGAGGGGTCAAAGATGGGGTGAGTAGCTTCCAGCTAGAAGTCAGGCTGAGGAAGCCGGGAAGGAAGGCTTATGAGGGTAGCTTGTAGATGAGCAATCATTCTGAGTCCTCTCTTGGGCATCTCCTACGGGTGTTCTTTGTTCCCTAAAGACCTTCCATACTCAGGTGATTAATAGGTGAGTCCAACTTTAAAAGCAGACTTCCTGTGTGAAAATACAGACTAGTGCTTCTGTAAGTGGTGATTTGTCTAATAGTAGTCGCCACTGCCAAAGTGAAATGTTGACCTTGCATAAGACCTAAATCCATTCACATTTTGGCCTTTTGTGAAGATATCTGTTGCCTAAAAGGTGCCTCACCTGGAAGTCTATTTCTTGGCCTCCCACCTGAGTCCTGAAAAGTAACTTTGAAACTTGCGTATGTGGAAGTCCTATACAGCCCTATAAACACAAGGGCCAGAAGGTCCCCAGTCATCTTGGAGAGGCTGTGGTATGCCCAAAGCCGCACCAAAGCTTGTTGGTGGTGGGAGGCTGATTGGAATCCAGATCTCAGAATCCTACTTTGGGCAGCCTCATTCCCAGCATTTCAAAAGCTCAGAGATTCTGGGTCAGGAGAGAGGCCCAGAAAGCATCCAGCCCAGGGTGGTCCTTGGCTTGTCAGCCCCCTTGTCATCCGCTGCACTTTCAGCCTGGGGACCTCCCCTGGTCTTGGTCTTTGATCCTCCCTTTATGACCTGAGCTCTCCCTCTGTCTTCCCAGCCCTCTCTCCTGAAATGCAGGCCTTACATCCAGAGCCTGTGGGACTCCTCTCCCACACAGCCCTGTTCTTTTTTTTTTTTTTTTAATTCATTAAGTTTATTGGTACATTGTAGGTATACAATACAGTTACATTCACAATTGGGATCTTGTACCTTTACATGATGTATCTTGGTTCTTATTTTTTCCCCATTTCTCTGCCCTCTCTTCAACCCCTCCACCCCTCCCTATTTACAAAGATTTTGTTTCCATTTTTTCCTTTTCTCGTATTTTTTCCTTTCCTCTACTCTTCCCAGTTTCCCTTCCCCTTTAGACCTTTTCTTCCTGTTTCACATTATCTATTATACATTTTGATCCTTATTTACACTTTCACTTTCTCACACCAGAGAAACTATTTGGTATTTACACATGTGTGTCCTATTTATTTCACTTAAGAGCATGGCCTCAATGTGCATCCATTTAGCTATAAATGACTCTAGTTTCTCATTCTTTACGGCTGAGTAGTACTCCATTTTATTAAAAAAACCCCACATCATCTTTATCCAGTCTCCAGTCGATGATCAGTTACGCTGTTTCCAAGTTTTAGCTATTACAAACTGTGCTGCTATAAACATGGGTGTGCATATGTTGCTGTGGTACTATTCTTTTAATTCTTTCAGGAAGATACCCATCAGGGGAATAGCTATGTCAAATGGGATCTCTAATCCTAGTTCTTTGAGGTATCTCCATATTGATTTCCACAGTGGTTGCACTAGTCTGCACTTCCACCAATAAAGGAGAAGGGTTCCTTTCTCCCCACACCCCTGCCAGCATTGGCTATTGGTTGATTTCTTGATAGCAGCCATTCTTTTTGGAGTGAGGTGGAATCTCAGCATTGTTTTCATCTGCATCTCTCAAATGACCAGTGATGTTGAGCATTTTTTCATATGTTTATTTGCTGCTTATACTTCTTTGAGAAATGTCTGTTCATTTCAGATGTCATTTTTGAATTGGGTCTTTAAATTTGGGGAGTCTGATGTAAGTTCTTTATATATTCTAGATAGTAGTCCTTTGAGGAACAGCTGGTAAAATTTTCTCACGTTGTAGGTTGTCTCTTAGCTCTGTTGGTGGTTTCTCTTGCAGTGCAGAAGCTTTTTAATAAAATGAGATCCCAATTGTTGATTCTCTGTGCTAGTTCCCATGCTACTGAGGTTTTGTTCATACAATCTTTTCCTATGCCAATGTCTTCAAGAGTTCTACCTAAGCTATCTTCCAGCAAGTTTAGTGTTTCTGTTTTAATATTTAGATCTTTGATCCACTTCAATTTTAGTTTAGTGTATGGTGAAAGATATGGATTTAGTTTTAATCTTTGGCAGGTTGAAATCCTGTTTTTCCAACACTATTTATTAAAAAGGCCATCTTTCCTCCAGTGAAGGTGGTTGGCTCCTTTGTCAAATATGAGGTGGCTGAGTATATCTGGAGCTGTATGTGCATCTTCTAATCTATTTCACTGATCTTCAGGCCTGTTTCTTTGCTAGTACCATGCTGTTTTTATCACAATGGCCTTGTGGTATTGTTTCATGTTGGGGATTGTGATACCCCCTGTCATGTCTTTGTTGTCTAGAATTGCTTTCACTATTCTAGGTCTCTTCTGGTTCCAAATGAAGTTTTGGGTTGTTTTCCATAGTGCTGTGAAATATACTATTGGGATTTCAATCGGGATTCCATTGAATCTGTACAGCAGTTTTGGAAGTATGGCCATTTTCACTATATTGGTTGTTCCTACCCAGAAACAAGGGATGTCTTTCCATTTTCTTATATCCTCTTCAGTCTCTTTTTTCAGAGTGCTGTAGTTTACAAGGTAGAGGTCTTTAACTCCTTCATTTGGATTGATTCCTAGATATTTCATTTTTTTTGGATGCTATTGTGAAAGTAATTGTTTCCCCAATATCTCTCTCAATGAGTCTGTTATTTGTGTACAAGAAGGCTATTGATTTTTGAGTGTTGACCTTGCATCCAGCTACTCTACTGAATCTGTCAATTAAGTCTAGAAGATTTTTAGCAGAATTTTTCTGGGTCTTCTATGTAAAGTATCATGTCATCAGCAAATAATGACAATTAACTTCTTCCTTTTCCTATCTTTATTCCTTTTATTTCTTTCTCTTTTCTAATTGCTGTGGCTAATGTTTCCAGAACTGTATTGAACAGGAGTGGTGATAGTGGACCTCCTTGTCTTGTTCCTGATTTTAGTGTGAAGGATTTCAGTTTTTGACCATTTCCCATGACGTTGGCTGTTGGTTTTTCATAGATAGCCTTTATCAGATTGCGATAAAGAACTTCTATTCCAATTTTCTGTAGGGTGTTTATCATGAATGGGGGTTGGAGTTTCACACAGCTCTGTTCTTGAACTGACTCCTGTCCTCCCTGACCTCCCTCAGCGGCAGGCACTGCCTTTTATGGTCAGATCAGAGGCCCGAGTTTCCTCCTCTTGCTCATCATTCTTTCTCCTACATCCCACCAGGTCTATTCTGGTCTTGTTGATTTACCTCTTTAGTACCTGACCACACAGCTGTCTTCATCCTTCTGCACCTCGCTCCTCCTTCCTCATAGTTGCCAGGAGGACTCAGATATTTGGTGGCAGCTCCTGAGCTTAGCATGTTACCTCCCGGTCAAACCAGCTCCGAACCCTGGTTTCCAAGGCTGCGCTTCTCCAGCCTCTTTGCTAGAGGGACTCGCCCTGGTACTCTCCACTCCAGCCCACCCTGGAGCTCTCGCCTCCTCGGGAAACCCTTGCCCCTGCAGCCCTCTGTGCGAAGAGCTCTTCCTCCCACCTCTTTGCCTTTCCACCTTGGCCCTCACCTCCTCCAGTAAGTCTTCCATACCCCCTTCCTCCCTGGGGCGCCCACCTGTGTGCACCCACACGACCCCGCGCAAGCTCCATCCAGCGTTATTTTCCCCACCAGACCCAGAACTTTCAAGAGCAGGTGTTGTCATCCTCCGTCCTGTGCCAGCAGGGACGGGGAATAGGTGGCCAGTAATATTACTGGAATGTATGAAAGATTTTTCGGATTGATAAACTGAGGCTCAGGGAAGTTCCTAATTAGCCCAAGGTTATAAGGCTCATCATTCCGGAGCTGGGCCTGGAACCGCGGTGAGCCAGAGCACTGCCCCAGCCACCGCGTGACTCGCGCGCGCGCTCGCGCGCGCGCAGCCGCCCGTAGCAGCGGCCGGTCCTGCGCCCCCCGCCCCATCCCAGCTTAGAGAGTAAGGGACCGACGGCAGGATCGCGAAGAGGGACCGGGACCGGGACCGGGACCGGGACCGAGACCGAGAGGAGACGCGGCCGGGCACCCGGAGCGCGCGGGCACTACCTCCCGCGTGCGGGGAAGGGGAGGGGCCCTCGCCGGGCGGGCGCGCGGTCACGTGGTGCGGGCGGCGGCGGCGGCTTCGGTGCGCGCGGGTAGGGGCGGCGCGGCCCCGGGCGAGCCGAGGGTCCCGGCGGGCGCGGGGCGCAGGGACGGCGCGGGCCGGGCGGGGGCGGCGAGAACGGAGGGTCGAGGCCGGGGTGTAGGGGCCGCTCGGCCCGGGGGAGCCTGCGCCCCGCTCATCCTTGCAGCCCCGCGCCCCGAGCATCTCCCGGAGGAGCGGAGACAAAGGAGGATTCATGTCCAAAGGTAGGGCGCCCGCCCCGGAGGACGCTGCGGCCGGGGGTGCTGCCGGGGAGGTGGCTGCGCCGAGGAGCCCACGCGCGGTGACATATGCACGGACACGCACGCACGGCCACACACCTCGAGACTGACAGTCTCGGAAGAAGGCGCACACAGGAACGGGGACCCAGATGCTCATAGAAAGCCCCATGCTGGAGCACCCCAAGAAACACACGCACACAGCGCACAGGTACCAAGGCCACCTAGAGCTGATAAGAGAGCCGTGTGCGGGCTGACACATCGGTCCCCTTCCCCCCACAGGCACCAGCTGGTGATCTGCAGGGGAACTCGTTGACCTCCTGAGGACTGGGATGGGGGAAGGGGCTGTTCCGGGGCCCTTTGCTCCTGAGAATGGGGAAGGGCAAAGATATCGGTTGTGATTCCTTTTCCAAGCACCCAGGACTGGAGCTGGGGTGCCCTACAATTTCCTTTCCCGGTGGGGGTGGGGTCTAGAAGGCTGATGGGGGGCCCCCTCCATCTTGGGAGACCCCCTAGCTTGGGAGGGATGGAAGAGGGTCCAGCACTAAGGCGGGGAGGCAAGTGCTATTCTAGGTAGGTCCCTTCCTCTTACTGTCACTTTCCCAGCAGAGGGGTGGGGTCCCTGGGCTGGACAAAGACAAAGCAATTTGTTTGCCTGGGGGGGGGGGGGAAGTACCAGCGTCCCTGCTTGCCCTGGGGACGAAGGGTGCTGTTCCTGTGGGCCCAGCACTGTCAGGTGGACAGTGCCTGTCCCCAAGGCATTGATGGGACAGGTGGCTCCCAGCAGGGGTGCTGCAGACAGATTCCCTCCTCTCCAGGGGCCCTGGGAGAGCTGTGAGCGTAGGAGGGGCCCAAAGGACTATGTGGCCTGGGTGGCATATTTTAGCTGCATCCTGCTGGCACCCCCACCCTGAGCTCTTCCCACCCTTCTGGAGCCCCCTCCAATATCAGTTGCAGGGTAGGAGGAGCTCTCTTCTTCAACTGTGGCCCACACCGCAGCCATTTGCTGGCTGAGGGTCAGCTGCTGTGTACAGCACAGCGTCTGAGAGGGAGACGGGACGGTTTGAAGTGACACCTGCCTTGTGTGGGGCTTTCATCCCTTCATCACTCATTCATTGCTGAGTTCCTGGAGTATGCTAGGTACATGGGCCACAGAGCTCAATGAGCCATGGCCTCTGCCTTCAAGGAGGTTGGAAACCAGCATGTATTCAGTGCCAGTTAATTCACACTCATGATTTTGTATAACCAGCACAGCAACCCAGCAGGGCAGATACTGCCCTCACTTTCTGAGGAGAAAACTGAGGCTCACAGTGGTCACCCAGCCAGGATTCAAGCCTGGGTCAGCTGCATACCTGAGACTTGTTGTAGGGACAGAGGATGGAGCCACAGAATCCAACTCCAGAACAGCTTTTGTTCTGTGCCCTGGAGGTGTTGCTGTGCTTGTTAGGCACCCTCACCAGACAGTGGCCTTGGGGGAGAGGGGAGTGACCTTGTCTGAGATACAAAAGTGTCCTTGGCATTTAATGTAGGGCTTGGCTAGATTAGGCCTATATTTGACAGCATGTGAAATGGCCCAGATGGAATGGAATGAATGAATATGGTGGATACCAGGGGGCAAAGGCCTCACAGAAGAGGGACATCTACACCAGACAGGAATGCAGCCAGGAGTTAGCCAGGGGCTGGAGAGGGAACAGTCTTCTACAAGGCTTGTGGCACAGTGGCCCACACTAGGCTTGCAGTACTTGAGGTTGATCAGAGGTGTTAGCCTGTGTTGGCAGGTCGCTAACTTGCCAGCAGGTGCTCTGTATGGTGCACACAATAGGTGGTAATATGTGTTCATTGAAAGAATAAATGAGATCTGCCCATAGCCTGTTCCACAGCCGGCCTCCTGTAGCCCCTACAAGCCGTTTGGGAACCTGATAGGCCCCTCTCTCAATCAGGGTCTGTCTTCCGGGAGAAAGTACTTTGTCAGGATGCTACAGGTGACAGGCCAGGACTGAGCAGGCCATGGTGAGACACATGCTTTATAAGAAACCCCCCCCCCCCAGGTCCGGGGATTTAGCTCAGTGGTGTCGCCACCTGCCTCAAAAGCATAGGGTCCTGAGTTCAATCCCTGGTACCAACCCCCTCCAACACACGGCTAACTTTCAGACCTGTAAAGTGGGATTCAGACCTCCCCCAGCCCCAGGTGGATGTGTTTCACAGTACAGGTTGTAGAGGCCAAGTGGGCTCAGCTGCTGAGGCATGAGGGCAATGGAAAGGGCCAGGCTGTGTGAGCAGCTGGGCAGGAGAAATGGGGCATGGGCCCTCGGTGCAGGTGGGGGCTGTGAACCACGTGTGTGAGAGGAGGAGCAGCCCTGGCTGCTGAGAGTCAGCTGCCGCAGGGCTGAGCCAATCTTGCTGCCCTCTGGAGCCGCCTGGCTGGCAACAGCTTCCTGGGAAGCAAGAGGGAGCCCCGCAAAGCCCTGGGGGAGGTTCCAAGGCTTTGTCAGGTTTGACTGTGCCTGGGAGTGACAGGGGACAGAGGGTCTTGCCAATACCGGTGGAAGGACCAGGTGGCAGGGGTGCAAGAGCAGGATTCCTGGCAAGCCTTGAGGGTGGGGAGAGGGTGTCCCCTCTCCCTCCTGTCCATCTGCTGCTCCATCAGGGCTAGGCCTCCCCGCCAGGCTGAGACTTCAGGGTGGTGATCACGAACTGTGAGATTCTAGAAAGGCAGAGCTGGAAGGTGTCTTCAGGGAGCTTGGAGGCCAATAACTGTCCTTGTGAAATTAGCCTCTGGGGCCCACCCCTTTCACAAGTGCTGCCACTTCATCTCCCCTCCAGATGAGCCTGTGAACTTGGGGCAGGGGAAGAGGATCTGGGCTTCAAGGCACCACATGCAGTGTTTCTAGGGATCAGATCCCTAGTAGTGCTCATGGTTAGTCAGAATCTGACCATTCCACAGAGGAGGAAGCAGGCTCCTAGAGGGGAGGTAGGCTGCCCAGGTCCATCCCACCCACCTATTTTATGGATGGGGAGATGGAGTCCCTTTATTCTAGAACCTATGCTGGTGGGCAGTGGCCTATTGAGGGTACCACAGATCTCTCCTGTGTGCAGAAATACCCATGAGCTTCCAGAGCTAGAGACTTTGGCCTTGCCCTGCTAGGTAGGGCTGTTTCTTCCACTGCCCAACATTCCCAGAGCACTCTGTGTCATCTTAGGCAAGTGACTGCTCTTACTGGGGTCTTATCCCCTCCCTGCTCATCCCATCAAAACTATGGCCAGAGGGTGTTGGAGAAGCCTCAAGGTATAGACACCCCTAATTTGCTGCTCACAGAGCAGAGAGGACACTGAGGTGGGAGGAAGGAGTGATCCTCTCTGCAGAGAATGGCAGCATGTTTTCTTCTAAGAGACAAAGCAGTGGAAGCTGGTGACAGTCGATAGATGTGAGACCCAGGATCCCACAGTGTCTTTGTCCTTTATTTGGCAAGGCAGGACTTAGTTCTGAATAACCCCTGACATTTCTTAGACCAATGGTTCTCCACTGGGGTGATGTTGGCCCCTGGGGACATTTGGTACCATCTCGAGACATTTTTAGTTATCACAACTGGAGGGCCACTCTTATCTGGTAGAGACCAGGGGTGTCATTAAACATCCTACAAGGTGCAGGACACACCCCTGTAAGAAAGAATCATTTGGACGTTGTTAGACACACAATTGTGGTGCTTTGGGGCAAGTGCCCAACAGCTGGAGAGCTTGCTTCTGGTGGCGATTTTACATCTGGCCTGCTCTATGTTCTTAAGCAAGTCCTTTCCTCTCTGGGCATGGCTCTTCATCTATGGAGTGAGAGATCCAGGCTGGGTCACATTAAAATCCCATCTAGTTCCAACTCCACGTATTCCATATCGAGAGAAAAATACTATGGCTTCCCTGTGTCTTCCCATCTGCTCCACCTGCCCCTCCCACCCTGGCTCTGCAGGGCTCCCCGAGACCAGGAGGGACGCAGCCATGTCAGAGCTGGTGCCCGAGCCCAGGCCTAAGCCAGCAGTGCCCATGAAGCCCGTCAGCATCAACTCCAACCTGCTGGGCTACATTGGCATTGACACCATCATTGAGCAGATGCGCAAGAAGACCATGAAGACCGGTTTTGACTTCAACATCATGGTTGTGGGTAAGGAAGGCCACAGAGCCCCTGGAGGGGTTGGGGTGGGGGTCGCTGGAGGGCTGGTGGGGGGTCACTGGGATCCCATTTCTTTCCTCAGAGTGGCCTCAGGCTTGGCTTCTCTAGGATGAGCTCTTTCAAGAGGATTTGCCATGCGGATCACAAAGGCCTGAGCCTTTTCTGACCCCAGAGATAGCTGATCCAGGGAGTGGGAGCTTTGGGTGTAGGTGGGGAGCTTCCTCACCACTCTGCTCTTACAGTCAGCAGTGTCCTCCCTACCTCCGAGAGCAGGGGGAGGATCGGATGGAAGGTGGTCTTATTTCTGATCCTTTGTGATACTTTAAAACTTTGAAGCCAGGTGTGGTGGCACATGCCTGTAATCCCAGCACTCTGGGAGGCTGAGGCAGGAGGACTGAAAGCCTAAGCTCAGCCTGGGCAATTTAGCAATTTAATGAGACCCCATCTAGAAATAAAAAATGTAAAAAAGGCCTGGGGATGTAGGTCAGTGCAAAGGCCCTGGGTTCAATCCCCAGTACTGGAAAAAAAAAGCTTCAAGGGAATTGTCAAGGATTTTGGACATTTGAGAGCCATGACTGGGTCACAGAATGTAACAGGGACCTTTGCCAGATCTCAGTGAGGTCTGAGTTCACTCGTTGTGAAACAGGGAGCAGGGCACCCTCTTTCTTCTTCCTCCAACGGAAGCAGTCACCAAGTCTATCTCTTTCTCTTCTAAATGCCTTTGAGGCACTTCTCTTCATGCCTGCCACTAGCACCCTAGGCTGACGAGACCTCTCCTGCAGTGGCCTTAGCCACTTGCCTCAGTGCTGTCCAGAGTCCTGACCTGAAGCAAGATAAGAAGCGTGGGCCAGAGTGACTCATCTGCAACACCTTGCTCTAAGAAAAGTCAGCTGATTAAGCAGTGTGCTCAGGGACACGTGGGATTCACCTCCTGGTACAAAACTCTTACCACGAGAACCAGTAGCAGATGGTTCATGGATTTGGCAGGCAGCCGGATGACAAGAAACACCTGGAGTGGCACCAGCCCTCCTGGGTCTCTGTCTCCATTCTCCTCTAAGCCCTTATCCACCCAGTGCCTGGATAAGCTTGCCAACCTGCAGAACTCATGAAGTCATCCTTCCTATTTACAACCCTCTGATAACTCCCTTTTAACCTCAGGATGAGTTAGACTCCTATCCTGGCGCTGCTCCTCAGACTCCTCTCTCCCCACTGCCTGTCCAGCGCTCTGCTCCTCCTTCACACGGAACAGTTCTCCACTTCCCACGCTCTCTCCTGCCTCAGTCTGTGTACATGCTGTTTCTAATCTCTAGAACACCCTTCCTGCTTCTCACAGCCCCTTGGTAGTCATCTTTCCGGTTTAGCTCTGTTGTTGCTTCTTCCTAGAAGTCTTCCTGGATCCTGAAGAGATTGCATTGCATTCCCTTTGCCATGTTGATATAACACCCTGTGGTTATCTCTTCCATGTACTTATTACAACATATTGTGACTGTTTGCTTATGTGTTTTGGTCTCTCTTACACTAAACAGCCCCTTGAGGGTGTGGGTGGGTTTGAGCCCAGGCCTATATGGGGATATCAGTGCCACCTGTCCTTCCCATTGGCTTCCACTCCTAGACAGCGCTCGGCACTGAAGGATACTTAGTGAACAAGTGTCCTTAGAGAGCATTGCAGACCAACATTTGAATCTCCCTTATGTAAGATGTTTGGGACTGAAAGTGTTCTCATTTTAAATTGTTTTAGTTGTTTGAACTATTTCCATAGATTTGACTGGTTGAAAAATCCCTAATCTGAAAATCTGAAATGCTCCAAAATCCAAAATGTTTTGAACATCATGTCAGCACTCGAAAAGTTTCAAATTGTGGAGGATTTTGGATTTCTAATTTTCAGATTAGAGGTGCTCAACCTGTACAAGACATGTGGGCCACTTCTCCAGGAGTGCCCGTGGCAGACAACTGGTCACACGTGGCACACGTTCAGCACTGAGCCCAGATGTAGCTGTTTTAGTAGAATGGATCTAGGTGGCTTCTGCCAGCTTATCAGCTGGAATGAGAAATGCACCTTGTTCTCCATCCCTAGTCTCATCCAATTCCATCCCCTTTGCTTTTCTGTCATAAAGAGACCGAGGCCTTGAGGGGCACATGAGACAGTCCAGAGGCATTCTGGGCAAACACCATAGTTTGGTCTAAAACCCTTGGCTCTTGCCTCCCAGCCTGGCTTTCTTTCTGCTATGCTACAAGAATGCTCTTGAGCAGCACCGCTTAAGCTTCTCTGTCCCTAGGGTTCCTCTGGAAGCCCAGTCAGACAGCAGGTCTGAGTCATGGGTTTGGGCTGGGGTGCTTCTCATACACATCCAGACAATGCTGGTGCTGCTCTTCAGTTGCAAGGCTTTCATGTGTGATTCTCGCACATGTTAAACCTCAGGAAGCACAGCTTAGACCCGTGGTTCTCAGTGCATCTCAGCTGTGGCCTCTTCTTGGAAGTTCATGATCCCTCTGGGCTGCTCAGGGCACACAGGTACTTAGCCAAAGTGAAGGAGGTGGAGGTGGGTGCTGTGCTCCTGGGTGCCCGGCTTTCTTCTCCCCCTACAGTGCCCTGGTTGGCATGTATTGAGCAGGATACTAGGGCTCCTGGAGTACAGTTATAAAAAAATACTATACTAGAATAAAGAGCAGATATGGAGCCAAGAGGTTCAAGTCCCTGGTCTTGCATTTACCAGTTATGTTGCCCTGCACACATTTTATGTTGCAAGAGGATTAAACTCTGGGGCCATCTCCACTGGGGCTAAAGATAGCTGTGCTATGGGACTCACTGGGCTGATAGATGGATTTTGTGAACAGATGGGAAAGTGCTTAGGCACTGTGAGGCAGTGTCAGAATGCAAAGTGATTTTCTTCTTTCTTTTAGTGTTATTAAAGATGGACAACTTAAGCAAAAGCCCAAGTCAAAATTTAAAAAATGCTACCTTAGATATAGACAGAGGTTTTTCCCTCTCCCACTGGTTCTGGGGCTCCAGGGAAGAGAGAATGGAGAATTTCCATTCCAACTGACATTTCCCTTCCCAGTAAGCAGGGGCCATTCCCACCTGCCTGCTCTCTGCTCAGCCCCTCCACCTGTCACATTGGATCACAACCTTAGATTTCTGTAGGCTCATGCGAGAGCTTCAAGGCTCAGGAGGTGAATGCGGGCTCTCCTACCTCATCTCCCTCCCCTTGCTTTGCTGCAGGCCAGAGTGGATTGGGCAAGTCAACGTTGGTCAACACCCTCTTCAAATCCCAAGTGAGCCGCAAAGCTTCCAGCTGGAACCGGGAGGAAAAGATCCCCAAGACGGTGGAGATCAAAGCTATTGGGCATGGTGAGGACCAGCTGGGGCCCCTATGGGCTTTGTCTAGAGTGGCCTGTGCAGAAAGGGGAAGGAATGAGGTTTATTTGGGAATAAAGCACATGGAAGGCAACCTCGAGACAGAGTAGAATTCAGGATTAAATTACATGAAGCAAACTCCTTAGACTGCTGGTCCCAGAAGGGGATGAATAGAATGGGAAAAAGTGGGCCTTGGCATGGGTAGGATTTAGACAGAAGTAGAAGTAGGGGGGATATTCCAGGAGCCAGAAGCAGCATGAACAAAGGTTATCAAGGTGGAGAAGACCCTGAACTCCTCCTCTCCAGTCCCTGGTCCTGGGGAAAAGAGAGGCTGTGTGTACCTGGCCAGTGGGCTGCAGTGCACCTGAGATCCCGGAGCACTGATTTCTCGGATGCCTTTTCTGTTTCTTCCCCAGTGATTGAGGAAGGTGGTGTCAAAATGAAGCTGACCGTCATTGACACCCCGGGCTTTGGAGACCAGATCAACAATGAAAACTGGTATATGTCTGCCCCTGAGAGTTTCACCCTAAACACTCTACCAGGATGCGAACAGATTCATTCCTGCTGAGAACTGTCTGTATCCCCCATGCTCTGCAGGTGCCTAGAACTCAGGCAGAGACTGGGTCCCTGGGGAGTTCTGCCTTGGGTGACTGTCCTTGGAAATCATCCATGGGGGGCGGGACGAGGGAGGATCAGCCTCAGGTGTCCTAGAGCCACCTGTTGAAGTGGGACATGAGGAGTGCAAGGGCTTTCAACCTGACTGAGCTCTGCATCTCGTCCTGATGTGTTCCCACCCCTTAGCTGGGAGCCCATCGAGAAGTACATCAATGAGCAGTACGAGAAGTTCTTAAAGGAGGAGGTGAACATTGCCAGGAAGAAGCGAATCCCAGACACTCGCGTCCACTGCTGCCTTTACTTCATCTCCCCCACTGGACACTCGTATGTACCAACCTGCTGCTGAGTGTAGTTCTGGTTTGTGTCACCCGATGCCTGTTCTGGATTGGATAATCAACACCTGTTCTCAGCTCGGGAGGGCCAGATGGACCCTGGGATTCCCATGGCCTTGGGATTCCTTAGACTTTCCACAAGGAAGTCTGACTTTCTTTCCAGAAAGGGAAAGCTGGCCATCATCAGCCCCTGTATGGCCCACTGGGGCCTCAGAACAGCACAGCTGTACCAGCAAAGAGGATGTGCGGGAGCAGAGGGCACCTCATTTGCCCAATGACTATCTGCTTTTGAACAGGGCTAGTTGTTTGTTGGGAAGCAGGAAGGCTGAAACAGGGAGAGGCGGGGCTTTAGGGTTGGGGGGCTAGTAGTTTGGCAGGATGGCCAGCCTGGCACGTGGGCCAGGGGTGTAGAGGCGAAGGCTGACCACAGCAGGAGGTGCTGAGAACTCAGCTTGCGAGGAGCAGATGGGCCACATGCTAGGAAGTGTGGGCACAGGCAGAGGGCAGGGATCCATTGGTATTTTGAGCAACCTTACTGCAGTGGAGTGTGTGTCTCATGATTTGTTACTAAGGCCAAGTACCAGGCCTGAGCTCTGTCCTTAAGGATGGCATGAGGAAGGTAGATGCTGGGCTTTGGGGGCACCAGGTACTCAGCAGGTTTTCAGTGATAGGGGAGGGAGGATGTGAAACAAGAACACTGGCCTGGCTCAGGACCTCAGTAAAAGGTTGTCTTTAGTCCTCCTTAGTCTTTGACCTACGGTTAGAGGGAACCATCGGACAACCTCACTTAATAAGTCCCCGATTGCAAACTAGAGCCAGATTGGGGCTCTAGAAACGCAGGTGGGGAGGCCTGGCCTTCAGACAGAGGGAGGGGCAAACCTCTCAGCTAAGCCCTGCAGGACTAATTCTGGGGCCTTGGTAGAGGCCTGTCAAGAAGGGTCACCCTAGCTGGGCATGGTGGTCCATGCCTGTAAAAGTGACTGGGGAGGCTGAGCCAGGAGGCTTACAAGTTTGAGGTCAGTCTGGACAGTTTACCAAGACCTTGTCTCAAAATAATAAAAAGGTTGAGGGTTTAGCTTAACATTCTCTGGGTTCAATCTCTAATGTTGTGAAAAAAAAAATACAGTCCCACAGGTAGAATATGACACACACGAGTAGCCATAACATAAGGACGTATGGGTAGGGACATCATCCGGAGATGCTCCCAGGACAAAGAACCCGTACATGGGTCAGAAAAGGTGGTGTAAAGGGTGGCCTGAGACGGGGCCTGATAAGGCAGGATTTGCATGGACAGGGAAGAAGAGAGAGGAGCGCGGGGTGAGGGGCTGTGAGGGTAGAAGACTTGGGGACATCTGCAGATGGCGAGGCAGCAGGTGAGTCTGCAGAGGCAGCCGCCTCTCGGCCTCAGCCAGATCCCAAGCCCAGTCCTCTCCCAAAGGTACCCTGGGGAGGTGGCAGGGGCCGAGGGGCACACAGGTGGCTCTGACAATCCTACCTTCTCCGGGCCCCAGCTTGCGACCCCTGGACCTTGAGTTCATGAAACACCTCAGCAAAGTGGTGAACATCATCCCTGTCATTGCCAAGGCCGACACCATGACCCTGGAGGAGAAGTCTGAATTCAAGCAGAGGGTGAGGAACCCCTTCCACCTGTTCCTGTCTCCAGCCCATCTGCCCCCTCCTGGGTCTGGGCTGTCTTCTCACTCTCATCATTCCCCTCACCCTCGCTGCCCACCCTCCCCAACACACTTAACCGCTCCGGAGGCTGGGCTGGTGGCTCTGGTACTTGGGGACCAAAGGCAAGAGGTCGGTGCAGCTGAAGACTGCCCTGGTTTCGCCCTCTACACCTGCCTGCCATGACCACTGGATACATCGGTCATGGTGAACACGAAGTGACTCAAACTTTAGGTTACTTGAAGACTGGACTTACTAGTCAGTGAACCACCTGCTTGCCTTCACTGAGTGTCTCATCTGTAAGATCAGCCCAGGGCTGTCCACCCATCAGGTAGGAGAGGGAGGACGTGAGAGAAATGGAAAGACAGTTGCTGCCTTTAAGAAACTTACAATTGCGGTCAGGTGTGGTGGTGCACTCCTGTAATTCCAGCACACTGGGAGGTGGGGGGATTGCAAGTTCAAGCCCAGCCTGGACAACTTAGTGACTGAGAGCCTGTCTCAAAATTTAAAAAGGGGGTGGGGGCTGGGAATGTAGCTGAGTGCAAAGGCTCTGTGTCCAGTTCCTAGTACAAAACAAAAAAACATTGAAGATGGCTGGATGGCACCCTAGAGGAGGCGATACTTTAGCCATCCTTGAAAGGTAGCCGCTGGAGGACTTGGGCTGGGGAACCTCACCTCTTTTCCTTGCAGACAGGCCACCAGCACTGTCCAGTGGCATCTGGACTCAGCTGTGCCGCTTGTCCAAATCCCCCTTTTTTTTTGTACTGGGGATCAAACTCAGGACCTTGCGCTTGCAAGGCAGGCGGTGGGCGGTACCACTGAGCTGAATCCCCGGCCCGTTATGTAGTGTTTGTCCCTTTTTCTTCCCCCCAAATCCTACACCCTGATATGGACGCTTTGTGCAAGGAGCTGGGGGCCTGGGCCTGCACCCGAGACCCCTCCTCCTCTGCAGCTGGGATGTATAATTGTGGAACGGGCTTGCATTCCCAGCTGGATCTTCCTGCTGCCCAGGGCCTCAGAGTTGAGATGACTCTGGATTATCACCTCTCTGACTTCAGCTCCCACACACGCATGCTTGTGTGCATACACACAACTGCACACATCTTCTGTGATGACGCTTGACTACCTTGCTTCTCCTTCCTGCCTCTAGGTTCGAAAGGAGCTTGAAGTAAATGGCATTGAATTCTACCCCCAGAAGGAGTTTGATGAGGACCTGGAGGACAAGACTGAGAACGATAAAATCAGGGTGGGTGCACCACACAGATGTCCCCTTGACACCCTGGGATGTGTACCATGTGGCTCTTCTGTCTTTCCACCTGCTTTTCCCTCTCTATATCCCTGGGCCACCTTGCCTGAAACCAGTGGCCCTGGCTGGGGGTGTGACCCTATAGCAGGGCTCCCTGTACCCAGAAAGCCTGTGTTCCCTTCTGTGCCCAGTCCATGTGAAAGCATCTTCTTCCCTCACAGTGTTTGGCAAAATCCAGGTGCGGGGGAATGGGGCACCAGGCAGGAAAAGCATCAGGTTGGTGTCCAGGGGAATTAGTGCTCTAGTCAGACCCCTTCTATACAATGCAGGAGTTAGACCATATGAGTGGCTTACAGGCTATTTTTCCCCAGAACAGTGATGGCAAACCTTTTAGAGCTTTTAATGTTAACAAACAGCTGGCTGCAGCACACGTGCCGTAGGTTCACCACCACTGCCCTAGAAGAACACTTCTAAGAAAATGAGGTTGCAATGACAGGTGCTGTGCAATGGCAGGTGCCTGTAGTCCCAACTACTTGGGAGGCTGAGGCAGGAGGATCCCTTGAGCCTAGGAGTTTAAGGCCAGCCTGGTCAGTATAGGGTAGATGTCTAAAAACTCCCCCAAACCAAAAAACAAACCTCAGAGCTCCAGCACAACAATACATAGGGACAGAGTTGCTTTGGCTTTGTGACATGGCATAGAGGCCTGTCTTCCCAGTTGCCACTGGGATGCCTGCTATGAATCTGAAGCCTCCAGGGAACCTGGTTTAAAAAGCAGCCTGTGATTTCTGGGTTCCTTTCAATTCTAAACTTCTACAATTCTATAATTCTACATCAGAAGCCTGGAATCTAGTCTGGGCTTTTAGACTAACCAACTGTAACCTGACTGCATTTGTTTTGAATCCCCTCTTCCATCAAGTGTGGATAATCTAGATGTGTCCCTTGGCACAAGGGAATGGTTTTGCGGAAGACAATCATTCTGTAGATGGGGGAGATGATGATGATGATGATGATGGAGGATGGATGGATGGATGTTTTGGGGATGATTTAAACAGTGTGCAACCCAGATCCCTTGCATGTGCAATTCTCAGTAGGGTTCTTTCTCTTTTGGGAGTGGAACGCCTTGCTGATCTGAGAGGAGGCGGAGCTCAGGCTGTAACCTGCAATTGAGAGTGGCTGGAAATGCAGGTGAAGCCTTTTGCTTGCTGGCAGCCACACAGCAACTGCTGTGCGGCCTGTCTTCCTATCAGGCCCTAGACTAGTACTGGGTTAGGAACTCCTGTCTTATCTGATACAGTTAGGACAGGTAGTTAATTAAAAAGTCCATTGAAGTTGAGGGAATCTTTTTTTTTTTTGGTACCAGGGATCGAACTCGGGTCCTTGTGCTTGTGCAGCAGGCGGCAAAACTGCTGAGCTAAATCCCTGGCCAAGGGAATCACTTTTTAAAAGGGTTGTGTACAAATCTTAAATGTTTAAAAGTAAACATTTTATGGTATTAAAACACATGTCATAGTCATCAGTCATTCCTTTCATAGAGAACCAAGGCCTCTGAGGATAAATCCACTCCTTTTTATTACTTTTTTGTGCACTGAGGATGGAGCCCAGGGTCTTGCCAGCACTAGGCAAGCATTCTACTGTAGAGCTACCTCCCCAGTCCCAAGTACATTCCTGGTTGTTCCCCCCCGCCACCCAGTACTGCAGACTGAACCCCAGGGTCTCTGGGCTGAGCTGCATCCCCAGCTTTTTAAAATTTTTTAAAAAAATTTTTGAGTCAGAGTCTTGCTAAGTTGTCCAGGCTGGGCTCAAACCTGTGATCCTTTTGCCCCAGGCTCTCAGAGTGCTGGGACGACAGACAGTTTCCAGTATACCTAGCTTCAAAATCCACTCTAAATGCCAAAGCTCACCTTTATCAAGTCTTTATGAAACATTTGACTTAATTTGAAGAGAAACAAACTCTACACATGTATGTCCTCAGCTTATATAATACAGTCATTAACTGCATAATGACATCTCCATTGTTAAAGGACCAAATATGACTGTAGACCCATATAATTACGTCACCTAGTGATGTAACCATCTTCGTTTGTGTACTGTGCATACTCTGATGTTTGCATGACACAAACATGCCCAGTGACACATTTCTCAGAACTTATCTCTGTCATTAAGCAACACATGATTAGTTTGTTTATCCCATGACAATCACAAGTACACATCAGGCAGATACATTTGAGAACAAACAGCAGGCACTTGGCTTACATACAATCTGCCTGGTGCAGCAGGGGGCCTAGTGCTCAGAGTTTAGCAGACGTGGGCATCTGCCCATAGCTTTGATGGGAGACAGCATCACATATCAGTGAGTCTGGCTGTTGCTTGGCTGGGCATGGTTATGAGAGGCTCTGTCTGCTGGCTGACTTACATGGTTGTTCCAGATGTTTTAAAAAATGAATGTACAATGTGCCCTGCAGTTGAAGGAAAGCTGACTTAACTAAGGTCAGCCAGCCAAGCAGTGGTGCAGTCACGGTTGAACCCAGGACCCCTAATTTCCAGTCCAGTGCTCTTTCCAAGGGTCAGAGCCTTGCTCTTGCCATCAGTAGTAGCTCTCCATGAGTGTTAGACAAGTACGACTCAGGGCTGGACATCGAGCACCATTTGTTGTCCTGCCCTTGGAAGGGCAGATCTTAGGAAGGTGACAGTGCACGTATGTCTGGTTTGTGTTTCTGCCCCATCCAGCAGGAGAGCATGCCTTTTGCTGTAGTGGGAAGTGACAAGGAATACCAAGTGAATGGCAAGAGGGTCCTCGGCAGAAAAACCCCCTGGGGAATCATCGAAGGTAATTCAATGCATCTTCTGGGAGAACTGACTGCTGATCAATTATCCAGCATCTAAAGATCAAGCCACTGTCCTAGGATATGTGATATACAATAAATGTCAGCCAGATTCTGTCCATAAGGAGCTTATAGTGGAACTGAAAAGATGATACTCGCAGGCAGAAAGCAGTAAGAAACCCATTTGCACCTGACCAGGTGGCACTGAGTTGTGTCAAAGGAGTTCAGAACCAGGAGAGATTAGTGAGGATTGGAAAACCAGAGAAAGGTTTTCATGTTAAGGGAGATGTGATCGGAAAAAGTGCTGGAGCGCCTGTGGGCATTTCCATTTCATTATGAATGGATGTGACCTTGGCCAGGTCGTGATGATTCTGAAAAATTTCAAAGAACCACTTCAGTAATCTCATTCAATATGAGAACCCTTTAAGGGCAGCTGGGCAGGCATTCCTCTCCTCAGAATATAAGCTGCTGAGACCTCCAGTCTTAGGTTAAGTGCTTTGCCAATGTGTGCTGTGCCACATCACTTTTCTTGCGTGTGTAGGGTGCTGGGGATCAAACACAGCATCTTGCACATGCTAGGCAAGGGCTCACATAATTTGTAAATGGATTTCAGAGTTAGGTATTTAGATTTCCAGACCAAAGCACATTATCTTGAATTGTCTCTTGTTTCCCTGTGACTCATTGTCGGGATTTTTTTTTTTTTTTTGGCTCAGCCTCCCACCCATTGTTGGAATTTTTAAAATAGCATGTTCTTATTTACCTTGATTTATGAGAATGTTCTACAGTCATTGTGAGATCAGAAGGCCATGTGTAAACCTTCTTCCTGCTTCCACAACCCTTGGCAAGTAGTTTGTAAATAGTAGGTGTTAATTGATGATTTTGTTTTATGGTTTTGATTTTGGGATTGGGAATTGAACCCAAGGCCTCATCATCCTAGACAAATGCTGTACCACTGAGCCACATCCTCAGCCCTCTCCGTCTATATTGAATTGGATTTAACATGCAGGACATGACCTTTAAAAGATGGCTCAGATGTTGTACTCTGTGTTACTTTCTTTCAATCAGATTATAAGTGCCTTGCAGATAGGAGCCATATTTTAGGCTTTGGCAAGTTTCTTAGACTTACTGTATATTTTCTCTTCTGTAAAATAGGAACAATAACAATCCATATTAGCTATTATTCCCCAGAGTTTAGAACAGTATTATGTCCATGGTAGCTGCTTAATATTTGTTCAATTAATAAAATCCAGTGACATAAGCAAGCCTTGGGAAAGGTTACAAAAATGGCCTGTCTCATGCTATCTTTAAATACCTCCATGACCCAGACAGAAGTTTACTTCTTGGATTAATGAAATGCATTAATGAAATGACCACCTGTTTTCTTTTCTTTTGTTCATAGTGGAAAACCTCAACCACTGTGAGTTTGCCCTACTTCGAGATTTTGTTATCAGGTAGGATGTCCCTCTTTCCCTTGCCTAGATGGCAGATTTTGATTTCTGGGGTCCAGGGCCATCTATTTCAGATTCCCAAGTCTCAGGGTCTTTGAACTTTTTGCCCCAGTTCTAGCTCCTGTCTCAAAGCAAAAGGGCCTGTAGAAGTCAGTGGGTCCAGTCCACGAAGTGATGTGTTAGCCTCTGAGGTGCATCACTTCTTCCTCTTTCTGCTCCTAATTTCATACTTCTCTCTTCTCACCTCATGTCCTGCAGGACCCACCTCCAGGACCTCAAGGAAGTGACACACAACATCCACTATGAGACTTACAGGGCTAAGCGGCTCAATGACAATGGAGGCCTCCCTCCGGTGAGCGTGGACACAGAGGAAAGTCACGACAGTAACCCATGATGACCCCTCTCTGTGTCATCACACATACCCTCCTCTCCACACACACGCATTCCAGATACCACCTCCAGCCACCTTCTTCCTTCCAGCTCTGTCCCACGGGGCTGTCTGGTGTTGTGGAACATCTTGTCTACATTGTGTGCGTGTATGTGCACATGAGGTGTGTGAGTGTGTGTGTGTGTGTGTGTGAGAGAGAGAGAGAGAGGGAGGGAGAGAGGGAGTGTGCCTGTGTGTGAGTGGGTAGGGTGAGGTATTTTCATTACTCTCCCTGGAGACTCCCTTGTAAGTCTGGTTCCTCCATGACTGTCCACTCTCTGTCTTCCTTCCTGTGTCACAGAACAAAGCCAAGCACTTCACTCATGAAGTATGGGGGAGGTTTTATTTAAAAATGCTGGGAGCAGGTGACTCTTTTTTTGGTACTGGGGATTGAACTCGGGTCCTTGTGCTTGCGTAGTAGGCGGCAAATCCACAGAGCTAAATCCCCGGCCCTAAGGTGACTCTTTTTTACTTCTCATACCACCCACAGACGGGCTGCAGAGATTCTCCAAGGACAAGGGCCTGAGCTAGACTGGGGTGGGGGTGGGAGCTCAGGACACCTCCCTGTAAGTTGGGGGCCTGGGCTAAGGCTAGGAGTTCCTGGGGGAAGGAAAAAGAAGGTCCCAGGGGGGCAGCGATGCGTGTCTCAGCTGGGTTCCTGCGGAAGAATCAGTGCTTGAAAGTGGAGCTCCACCCTGTGGTCTGTGTCGAGGCCCCTGTGCGCAAGCTACCACGTGTCACTGTTCAGACCGCTGCTTTCCATGCTCACCCTGCCTCTGCTCCCTGGCCACTTGCCTGCCTCTGTTTTCTGCTTTCAGTTCTTTTTCCTTTTCCTCCCTCTTGCCCATTTCTGACATCTTTCACATCCTTGTAGATGAATCCTTTTAGCTTGATTTCTATATTCAGGATTTATGTCCAGTCTACTTCCAAAAAATGACTACACTACCCTAAATTTACAACAAAAAGCCTGGGACAGTGCACACTGAGATTACAAGAGAAATTGGCACCATCAAGAATAGGATAGACAGTTTTAGTAGTTGAGGGCTGAAATCAACCCTGAACCTGTGGGCAGCCAAGGCAAAGGAGCCACAGTGAGTCCTGCAGGTCCCAGGGCCCTGTTGAAGGAAGCACACGTGGAAGTCCAGCCAGTCCAGCCTTCTGGGTGAAGGGTGCATAAAATTCTAGAAGGGGTAATTTTGAAGAAGTATCAGAAACAATGTACAGTATTTCTTTCTCAGAGGTTTGGCTTCAGAGACAAATCTTAGATCACAGCTCCCTCTTCTCAGACTTCTCTGTTCAGCTGGCTTCCCTGAGGCTCTTGTGGTCTCACCCATACTAGACTCCCTCTTTTTTTTTGTTTTTTTTGGAACCAGGGATTGAACTCGGGACCTTACGCTTTCGAGGCAGGCTCCAGAACCACTGAGCTAAACCCCCGGCCCTAGACTCCCTCTTTACTTCTCTCTTCACTTTTCTTCTCTGTTCACTTTTCTGCTCAAGCGAATTCCATTTATGTCTGTCCTTCTCTACTTTCTCCCACCTCCTGATTCCTGAAGACATTCCCAGTAATACCCATGATCATACATTTAGCCTTTTCTTGCCTTTCCTGTAAGTCCTCTATTTATTAATGCATATCCTTGCCTTGTTTATTGCACAAATATTATTCTCTCTCCTTTAATCCGTGCTAGGATTGCTGTAATTCGGGCCTGGGGAAACAATTTATCCTTAGGAAAGAGAAAACACCATGTGATACTGTTTACAACACTCCCCTCTCCTGTCCCAACTCCTGGTCCAACCTGGGTGTTGCACTGGTTCTCTCCGAATGCCAGCATTTATAATTCCAGTCCTTTATCATTCAGGTGCTAGGAAAGAAGATTTAAAACCCAAGATTGAAGGGACCAGGAGAAAGAGGAGGGGTGATCAGGTCACCAGTGTCGCCAATCTCGCAGCCTCAGTCTTTCCTGAAGGCTGATTCACCCATCGGGCCCTTATCCTCCCCTGCCACAAACTTCCTCCAGGGTGGGGACCTGTTGGGCCAGAACGGCAGCAGTGTTACAGCACAGAGCTTGCTACATCTCAGCTGGACTGGGTACCCGGTACCCAGCAAGGGAAGACCGAGGGGTGGGGGTGGTGGGCATTGGAGAGGCTGAACGGGGGAAGGATGTTTGGTACCCCGAGACCATAGTCTCAGCCTCCCTGGAGAAGCTGTGTTTATGTGACTGCTGCCAGCTGCTGGTCTACACACCCTCACCCATTCTCAACCCCTGCAGGGAGAAGGCCTCCTGGGCAGTGTCCTTCCACCTGTGCCAGCCACCCCCTGCCCCTCTGCTGAATGAAGGCCATTTCAAGCTGCTTCTCCCACCGTTCCTCTCAGCTGTTATTGCTGCAGGCCCAAGCCCCTCTTAGCGCTGTACTTGTCACCAGCCCACCCTCTGTAGGTGGGAGGGGCCAGCTGCCTCTTAGGACAGTTGCTGTCTCCTTTTAGCCAGGCCGATCCTCCCCTCCCTGCAGAACAGAGTTCTCGCCTGCCAGCACTGCCCTGCTCCACTGTCTGTGTCAGCCAGTCCCAGTCCATCTGTAGGGAGGAAGAACTCGCCAAGAGCTGCTTCTGCCCTTGCCAGCCCATACCAGCTACTTGTAACCATCTTCAAGGGAAATGACATTGCTCCCTACCCATTCATCCACATGAGCTACTCCTGGCTTCCTTAAAGGGTCAAAAAAAGCAACTTTTCTGCTTGTCAGAGTCATTGAGGTCAGCTGTGTGAGCCTTATTGTGGGACAGGGGTTGCTTAAAGATATTTAAGAAGGTGGGTCACTTCAGATGTAGGGGAACAAGGGCTAGGGTCACTTTTTAAAATATTGGGCTGGGGATTTAGCTCAGTGGCAATGCGCCTGCCTCATAAGCCTAAGGTCCTGAGTTCAATCCCTGGTACCAAAAAAAAAAAAAGGCCAGCTAAAATATCACCCCAGGTAGCTGGTACATACCTACCCATCCCATAATGCAGCCACTTAGCAAGAGTGGTTTTCCCAAGGTGAGATTACTGGAGTTGACTTTCTCCTCATCCCCCAAATAAAAAAATGAACTAAGCATACACACAAAATCCCAGAAACTCACATGCTATACACTGTAGGAAGAAAAACAGCACCCTCCTGTTCACTTAGCAATAAGAGGGATCTTTTCCCACCTACCCCCACTACCCCAGTCTCCTGTCCCTCACCCTGTTAATGTGAGTAATGAATTAGCCTGGCCTAGGCTAATGGAAAATACCCAGCGGAGGGGAAGCCCCCATCAGATGCATGAATGTTGGCGAATGTTGGCTGTCACTGCCCCACATACTGTGTCTTTATAGAACCCACCTTTCCTCACCCTACCCGCATCTCCACCTGGACACAACTTGCTCAAAGGCTGGTGACTTGTGGGCCATTCATCTATAACCAAGACCTGATGGAACAAGAGGCCCAAGCCTAGGGGATGCCAGAACGACCCATTTCTCAAATGTTACCAGTCCCAGCCAACCTTTTGGTGACATTCTGGTTAAATTTCCTGATTGAAAACAAGCCAACAGACACTCAAACTGGTTGTGTAAATGTTGCTAGACTTTATGTGTTGTATAACTAAACATTGCTGTTTGAACAATAACTGGCTGGCCTGTGTCTTATTTGGGCTCCTTGCTCTCTGACCAAATCAGCCGTTATGTCATCACACCCACGTGCGGGGGGGTGAGCCAGAGATCATCTTGGTAAGACTGAGGTCAGGCCCAGGCATCATTTCCTGGGGCTTCATATCCCAAATGAGTGCGAGCCATCATACCTGACCTTATGGATGCTGTGTTTTGCCTTCCTCAGTGAAAACGATGTGTATTTTCATTAACTTCCTGCCTTTCCCCTCCGGAAAGCAAAAGCACCAAGTCTAGGAAAGGAATGGTCTTGTCTTACCTAGAAACCTATTTTACAGGGAATACAAACTAGTTTGAACATAAACATCTTGAGATATCCAGTCCCTTTTGTACCCAGCAAACAACTCTCACCAAATTTTTGAATTTGAATGTGACAAATGTATGCAGCTATGCGTTGTGGGGCTTCAGCTTTCTGTGTGGTGAGTGCAAAGTATAGTATGAATGGAGGGATGTGGTGGGGGTGCAGAACTGGAGAAAGATGAGTCAGGAGACTCATGAAGCAGTCAAGTAAAATGAGACTAGCAACATGACACTGAGAAGAGAGTTGAATGACAGCAGTTAGGTGGCCATCAAGTATCACAGCTAAAAGAAACCTGAGAGCTCTTAGTCCAGTGCCATCACATAGATATGAAACCAAAGTCCAGAGAACATAATCCTCTTCCCAAGGTTGCATTTAGTTACTGTGACAGGACAGAGACTAGATACTGTTCCCATCGTATTTTGCTTGTTCTTGCATTTAAAATAGAGTTCAGAAATAAAGTTATGTTACAATCAATGGCATGTCAGCTTGGCACTTTATTCCTCAGTGGCACATTAATAATGCATTTTATACATAACAGCATCTTACACTCGATGAAATAGAATAATCAAGGAGATGTTAACATCCCTTTATTTGAAGACCTCTGGTGCTATTTGCGAAGAATTGGAGGAAACAGGAATATGTACAACATTATGGTACTCAAAGCAATTCAGGAACAAGGTATCCAGATCCTCACGATCGTTTCTGGAGGGGGCAGGGCAGGTGTGATGGATGTCACACCAAGGCTCTCTCATCTTGGAACTGTCTCTGACTCACGGTCGAACTTCCACTTCCCTTCCTTTCCTGGATACTATCACACAAGACAGGTTGCTCTGGTTCCAGGCCTTCTCTGACGGAAGAAAGTTTTGTGGGTCTTAGCAGAGACAAGATATTGTTCTAAAAAAAGAAAGAAACTGCCCTGGCCCCTTTCTCCAAAATGCAGCACCTTTCTGCCCGGGTCGTAGGGGACGCTGGGTAATCCTGGCAGAGGTTCTGGGGATGCTGCTTTTAACTTCCATTTCTGGCAGGATCAACTCAAGTCGATACCGGGGACAGGGTCAGCCATGCTGGGAGCCAACGCAGAGGAGGCCACTGACCTATCCTTCAATCCCTTGGCTCTCCGGGGGCAGAGCCGATGCCCTGGACCCGCCCTCTTTCCCGTCAGGGTTGTGTCTCAACCTTGGTTCCGCCTGTCCTCTTACAGTCCTTTCACGTGACCAGCCACCTTGCCTACTCACTGCCAGCCTTTGTGCCATAATCCCCGCCCTCCCCTTACGACCCCACCTAGAGGCGTGGCACAAGTCCCGCCCCCTTCAGCTGAGGGGCTGGAGGGAGGGGCCTCACAGCAAGATGGCGGTGAATCAGAGCCACACCGAGAACCGCAGGGGGGCCGCCATCCCTTATGGTGAAAGGTGCTGGAGGGGACCGAGGCTGCAGTCCTAGAGGAGGGAGAACGGGGAAGGAGACAAGTGGGGCAGCCCTGCTGGCTTCCAAGCTCTCAGCCAATCAGGGGCTTTCCCACCTCTTACCTCTGCCCCTGACATTTAAGGGCAAAGGCCCTCGCTGGTGTTGGGGGCTTGGGGATTTGAGGTCGTGGGTTGGGGCACATGGCTACGAATGCATGTGAAGGGTGTGTGGAGGGTACCAACATATCGCCTGGAAGGCACTGATGCCTCAGAAAATAGGTGGGAACCCAGTGGCCATTGTATGTGTCTGTCCCCTCGGGTTTCAGTGCCACAGTGCATGCAGTTCTGCAGGCTGAGGCAGCACAGAGGACTTTGGGTGAGACCCTCCCAGGCTCCCTGGAATAAGGACCTACTGTGGTGACCCAAAAGAAGCCCAAGGGGGCCGGGGATTTAGCTCTGGTTCCGGCGCCTGCCTTGCAAGCGCAAGGTCCCGAGTTCGATCCCCGGTACCCAAAAATAAAAAATAAGAGGCCTAAGGGAGTGGGGTGTGGATCATTCTGGAAAGATCCAGAACTGTTGCGGGCCTTTTCTGGGACAAGAGAAAAGGGCTTGATGTTCCTCAAAAGATACTTTTTTTTTTTGGTATTGGGGATTGAACTCCGGTCCTTGCACTATCGAGGCAAGCGGCGGAACCACTGAGCTAAATCCCTGGCCCCTCAAAAGATACTTTTATTCCACAGCTGCCCCAGATGTCTTGCAGCAAGCCAGCTGCATCAGATGGTCCCCACAATCACTCTGGGGTTATTTGCTTTGGTTGCATCCGCCTTTGGTGGTGGAACTAGTTTTGCACTGCAGGATGATGAAGAGCAATGAAGAAGAGCCAGTAGTTGCCATTTCTGGTAGCCTGCTGGTCGATGCTTGTTCCAGGTGGCAAGAAGGGCCACTAACCCTAAAAGAATTGGTAGCCACTGTCATTCAAAGCCCAGGGCTTTTAATATTAAGAGCTACACTTTGCCAATTCATGATTTCTGTACAAATTGAATAAGAACCCTCAGCTAATTCATAACATTTTGAGTGTGGGAATGGGGAACCCTCTTTAGAGGGTCCTGAAAAAGAGAGCAGACATCCATGATGGTTGTCAGTAGGCTCAAGAACCAGCCCACATTTGATTTCTATCCTATGTGCAGCTAAGAACTAAGAACAAGATGGCCCTTGGAATTTTTCCTTGTTATCCTAGCCAGAGACAGATGAATGGTCATTATTGGAAAAAAAAATCAGAACTGAAAGAAGAGATGTCAGGAAGGATGATGCTGTGTGGTTGTTGCTGAAGCTTCTCAGCTGGAAGGAGCCTGTCTTGAGGCAAAATTGAACACCTAAACCCTGGGCTCCACGCCCTTCTTTATTCCACACTTCCTACCTGCTTTTCGCAGTAATTCTCCATCTCCCAGCTTGCAGTTCTGAATTATGCTCCTCTCTGCACTGATTTGCTCTCATTTTTCTTTTCTTCCACTGTTATAGACCCCAAAGGCCTCTTGTGTTCAGAAGTGCGGCTTTTGGCAGTGATTGAATCATGGGGGTGATGTAGCTGACTTGCTGGTAGGAGATGGGGTCTGGTCGGAAGAGTACCTCCCTCCCCGGGTCCTCCTTCTCTCTTGGCTTCCTGGCTGCCATGATGTGAACAGCTTTAAACATGAGCCCAAATAAACCTCTCCTCCTTAAAGCTGCAGGTGTCAGGTATTGTGTCTCAGCAGTGAGAAAGTGACTAAGACACCCACCTAGTAGTGAGCACTCAGGTGTCACACCAAGGTCAGTTTAATGCATTTGTCAGGCAGATCCAAGCAGACATCACCACATGCTGATGCCCACATCTGTTTCCTATGCTTCCTTTCTCCAAAGGTTTTCTGGACAGTGTTGTGCCAGCTGTGGAGCTCATACATCCCCACTTGCTCCTAAAGTGCCTCTGCTGCTTTGTGCAGTTTAATAGGGGGAGATGACCAGTTGCCATGCTGACCTGGGTCTCTGTGTACAGTGACCCAGAGCACTTTAACCTGTGTGGCTGTCATTCTGTGCCATGAAGTCATTGCAAATCTGGTGCTTGTGTGTCTTCTTACTCAGGCTCTGAGTATGTCCCTCTGCTTTGCTGTTTGTGTGTTAGAGGCAGGGAATGAATTGTGTTTTTAAAAATGAAATATAATAGGAAACGTTGAGTTATCTTTATGGAGTCCTTTCTGTGCTCTTGGATACTTAATAATAGCATTCATTGTACGGTTAAAAATGTCCTGAGAGGTTTATAGCTAAAACTGCTCTATCTGTAAGGAGGATTTGTACTGTTTTCCTTGTTTCACAAGCAGGAAACATGGAACAGAAGGAATATGCTCAAAATCATACGTTTTGTGCATGCAGAGGAGCTTGGTTTGCATTTGAACTAAAGTACTATGCATTCATTCATTCACTCCAGCCATCCCTTGAAAAACAAAAGGACCATTTCTCTGCTTTCTTCTGACCAAAGAAGGCCCTTGGTCGGGACAACACAAGTGCTTTGGCTTCCAGGATAGAAACGAAGGAAACAGCTTGGGAAGGAGATTGGTTCTATTTTGACTTCTTTTTTCAATACACAATACACACTTGAGACATTTATCAGAACTTGGCTGCCTTTTGTACAGAAATTTTCTGATCCTGGATGAGAAGTCACAAATGTGTGGGCCAGACTGTGCTATAAATGGGGAAAACATTGAGTTTTATTTTATCCATTGTTTAATACTTGTGCAGATAATAGCATATGTGTTATTATAAAAAAATTAGGAAAAGTTATAAGCCCCAATTCCAATATCCAGTAATTTTCACATCTTGGTATGAATTTTTCTACACTTTTTCCTGTGAAAATACACACTGCCCCCCCACAACTGCTTTGTAACTTGTTTTCCTAATTTACCAGTCTATCCAGAATGCTTTCCAGTGCCAAAACCTGCATCATTAATTTCAGTAGTTGGTATTCCAGTATCTGCAAAACTTTACTCAGCCCCCAATCTGAGATATTCTGGATTTTCTGGTCATTACCAAAAACAGTTCTGCACTGAACATTTTTGAAGACATATTTTTACCCACATGTCAAAATGTTTCTTTGGGATATATTCCTAAAAGGGAAATTGTGAGGATCAGAGGACATAGCCTTTTTAAAGTGAGATTTAAAAAGTATTTTTAAAAAACTAATCTTTATGAAAAATCTATAAATATGTGTTAAGTACATTTATTGCAGAAGTGTCTTACAGAATATCAATTTACATTCTTTTCAGTAGTTTCAGTGCCCATTTCACCATACCCTTCCCAACAGCTCTGTCCACCTCCCACCCTCCTGCCATCCCTCCCTCCCTGCCATCAGCCCCTGGTAACAAACACACTACTACTTGGGCTGGGAATTCAGCTCAGTGGTTCCACCTCCTGCCTCCCAAGCACAAGGTCCCAAGTTCGATCTCCGGTACCAAAAGAAAAAAATCCTACCTTCTGTTTCTATTAATTTGATTTCAAATACTCATATAAGTAGAATTATACAGTATTTGTCTTTTTGTGACTGGTTTATTTAACTCAGCATAATATTCTCAATATTCATCCATATGGCATGCGACAGGATTTCCTTCCTTTTCGGGGCTAATACTCCATTGTATACACGTATTGCATTTTGTTTATCCATCCACCAATGAGCACTTAGGTTGCTTATGCCTCTTTGCTATTGTGACTAGTGCTACTATGAATAAATCTCTTCGAGATCTTGCTTTGAATTCACAAGAGTTCCATTTTCTCTATGTCCTTGGCAACATTTTCTGTTTGTTTAATGGGAGCCATCTTAATGCATATAAGGATATCTTATTGTGGTTTTGATATTCATTTCTCTAATTAATGATGTTGAGAATTTTTTCATACACTTGTTGGCTATTCTTTTTTTCTTTTTCCATTCTTTTTTTTTTTGTAGACAAGATTTTGCTGTGTAGCCCAGGCTGGCCTTGAACTCATAGCAATCCTCCTGCCTCAGCCTCCCAAGTGCTGGGATTACAGGCGTGCACCACCATGCCCAGTTTATTGATTATTCTTTACTTGTTATTGATCTACATCTTTCTAGGAATTTATCCATTTCTTCTAAGTGATCCAATTTTTTGGTGTATAATTGCTTATACTATTGAGCAGTTGCCTGTTTATGTTTCTCAAAAAGCATCATTTGTTGAAGAGAACATACTTTTTCTATAGAGTGGTCTTGGCACTTTTGTTAAAGATCTCACCAGGCGTGTTGGCACACACCTGTAATTCTAGCACTTGGGAGGCTGAGGCAGGAGGATTGCCACAAGTTCAAGGCCAGCCTGATCTACATAGTGAGTGTGAGGCCAGCTTGAACTACACAGTGAGAACCTGTCTAAAAAGAAGAAGCAGAAGCAGAAGCAAGAAGAAGGGGGTGGGGGAGAAGGAAGAGGAGAAGGAGATCTCTTGGCCATATACATGTATGTGTGAAGGTTTATTCTGTTCCACTGATATATTTATCTTAATGCCAGTAACACACTGTTGTTGTTTTTTTTTTTAACACACTGTTTTGACTATTGGCTTTGTTGTAAGTTTTGAAATCTGGAAGGGTGAATCCTCCAACTTTGTTCTTTTAAAAGATTATTTGGCTATTTAGTGTCCTTTAAGATTCCATTTGCATTTTAAGATGAATTTTTCCACTTGTGCAAAAAAAAAAAAATGCTGCCTGGATTTTTTCTGCTTGGATTTTTTTTTTTTTTTTGGTACTGGGGATTGAACTCGGGTCCTTGCGCTTATGCAGCAGGCAGCAAAACCACTGGGCTAAATCCTTGGCCCTCTGCCTGTATTTTAACAGGGATTGTGTTGAATTTGTAGATCATTTTGGGTAGTATGACCAAATTGTTGAATATATTTGTATTGATATTCATGAGAATTGTTGATCTGTAGGGTTTTTTCCCTTTGTAGTGTCTCTGTCTGGCTTTGGTATCAGGATAATGTTG